GGAAAACTACGTCCAAGGCAATCCTTTAAAAAAATTCAGTAGTATGGTGAAGCGGTGAAAGTACATGAAAGTGTTTAAGTCACAGTTCGCCCAGCAACGGTGACCAGCGTCACCGTCCCTAAAGTATTGATGAACTAATTTGTGTAGTTTTAGACTTTGACAGTTTAAAAGCTGTCTTGTCCTGAATCGGGACTCGAGAGTTGATCTCATTCTCGGTATGGTCTGGCTGGAACGCCATTTGCCATGTACTGACTAGAGTTCTTAGACCTTAGGCGCAGCGCGCAATGTTTATTATATTCAATACCACATTAGCTATACAACATAGTTTCTTTTGGCGCGCGCCGCTGACTGAGTCATTTAGTATGCTGGACATCGGGAAGTCTGAAATATTCGACTTTGATGTCAATGAAAATAGTGAAATTGCACATACTTCGCTACGTAGCATCTGTTGTTTAAATGAAGTACTGGATGATGATAGCAATGTTGAACCAGGTCGATTCACTAAGGTTTGGTTTCTTATTTTTATGTGCAGCGGCAAGTCAACATCCACAGAGTGAGAACGGCTGCAATAGCACATCACTGAAAGCCGGTAATGACGCTGTTGACGAAACGTCCCGGCATCAAGAGCGAGACTACTTTGATGCATGTGCGGAGGCACGTGAACATCCACAGCGTGAGGGCGTCTGTCATAGTACCTTAATAACAACCCATCAATGGTGTTGTTGTCGAGGCGCCCATACATCAATAGTCTGATGTGCGTACAGTGGTGGATTGAATACCAAGTAAAAAGTTTGAGTTTAGCAACTCTACACCGGCTCATAATAAAAATGACATCAGCTCTTGTTTACATTAGGCTGAGTTTGACAAGGCTTATTATCTTGTAGGATAGGGGATGCCCTTGCTTAAGAGTTGTGTCTTTTTACAGAGACGGCAAGGACGTCACAAGGCGGGGGATAGACATAAAGCGTCTGTAGTGTCGCTTAGAATAACTTGCGATAAGCTTTGTACACTGATCGATAGTGTGACAGGTCACTGGATGGTGTAGTTGGCCTTGCGGCCCTCTCATCGTCAACTGATTGGATATGGATAGACGAAATGTATGTTGATGAGATCAGTCAGGCCTTAAAGGTAGGCGAATTGTTCGATTTGGTGGTCCTTTGTCCAAATAATGAATTAAACACCTCTTCTCTATTGAATAAGACGGTCTTTTTAAAGTTTATTACGATACTTGGTGCACGAAGAGGATCATACGTTTGAATGGACACTTCAGCTCCTTACTGCCCTTCGGTCTGGGAACTTTAGAAATGTGATAAATCGTAATGCATCGTCTTTATCCCCTGATAAAAACAAACGACACGGAACTGACTTGTCCTGATACAAAATTCTTCGTTACAAGGCCTTGGCATTGACTATAGGAATAATGTGACATCAATGACGAGTTTTTGGGTGCTAAGTACGCGGCACGAATGGTGCGTGGGAGCAAATATCCTTTTTCCACACCGGAAAATGTGTCGAATAGCTTTAGGGTACGTGGCGAACTGTGCATGCTGATAAAAACCAAAATGCATCCACTATACCGGCACATACACCCATTCCTAGAAAGGACGTTCTTCAGAAAAAACTTGAGGATGAACTATGTACAGTGCACTCGACCTGGTCGATGATTATAATTAAATGTTCATGCGAGCAAGTGTTATCCCGCTTACAGTGGTTAGTGCTTTGAGCATTATGCTTTGTGAGTGTCTATCTTTGCAGCAAAGGATTTCCAATGCCCCGACTACGCTAATTTGTCCATGCAATTGTTTCTCCCATGCTTATCTTAAGCTTAACAATGCCATTAGTTGTCTCGTCCTCAACGTGCACAAGCATGTTTTGATGACACATCTTTCCATAGTTGGGCAGAACAGGATCGGTCAGACGTGGATAACCAAATTGATCATTTACGAGCCGTGTATGCGCAAGAATAAGCCCCATGCTCACGCATTAACTGTAAGTAAACATTAACTTTAGCGCCAATAATAAACCATTTTTAAATGCCTGATTGGGTAGCGAGGACTTCGGGGAGTTTCTGCAAAGGTAGAGGACTTATTTAATTGACCAGTACTTCAAATCAAATGACCTAACTAAATGGCTTGGCCTTACCAGTTACTTGCACTAATACAGCGATAATTTTTCTGATGTTACTTGGCCTCACTCAATCTTCTGAAAGGAGGTAAAGTGGTGCTGGAGCTGTACCAAAGCACTGGCTTTTATAGCACTTGAAAAGAATTTACTGCATGCCCCATTTATAATCTATCAGATTTTAATCGGCCTTTTAGTGTCGTCTGTTACTCTTCGGATTTCGTTAACGGCCATGACGGCTACGAACAGATACTAAGGAGGCGAGCGTGTCATTCCTTTTAGATTACTTCATTTTAAATATACTGAAATGATTATCCAGTTCCCGACAAGGAGCTTTTTGCTATAAGGTAGGCTTTTGTCAAGTGCAGAGTTCGTCTGCTTGGCTTAAGCCTTGTGCAGTCTATACCGATATGCTTCTTTAATCACTGTGACTTAATCGCCTAACCTTTCGCAGAGAATGGTCCGTTGGCTTTCATTCTTTGTAGAAGATAACTTCGGGGTTCAGTAATTAGCCAGGAAAATAAATTGCGCTGCTTAATACGCTGTCACGATGGCCCGACTATGACCGTACTCATTTTTTAAAGAATTTTCTGTTGGCAATTGATGACTTATCCGTGCATCTTATTCCAAGATAACCAGTGTGTAGATTTTCTAATATATCTTGAAAGCGACGACTCTATAGACTTGGAGATTATGTTTCCGGCACCTTCGCGTGCGAGGCTACTTTGACATTTTTTTGTAACAGCTTGTTGTGATATCGTAGAGATACTTCGTATAGTTTACGTTTACCTTCTTGGCGTTGGAGTTCAGCAGCATAGACTTTGTGTTCTGCCTATAATAAGTTTGGACTGGCAACATAGTTATTGTGATCCCTGTCGTCTTTTTGAGAAAAGGACTCACTTGGTATTGGTGCCGGATTTGATTGATGGTGAAGGTACATATTTGCTTTTTATTGATCGCTTTTTTTAAAGCGGACGACTCCACTAACAATATTATCCGATTGCGAACCTTTTTACGGCAAAGTTCTGAATGGCCATTTAATAGATGCTCGGAGGCCCAGTGAAATGTCTACCGCGGATGATAAGTTGTTGTTTTAATTTGTATTTTTTTAATATAATAATAGTTTTCATAAAAATTTAATCATTTGTAATAATTAATTATTGACTGATAAATAATATTGATTGAAATTAAGCAATTTATCAAAAAAATTATATTTTTATTTTTTTATATTTTAATAATATGGCTTTTTGCAAAAATTGTTTTACTTTTATTTTGTGAAGTTTAAAGAATTTCATTTGGCATATTTTCAAAATTTGAATTTAGAAGTAACCATGAAATTGATTTTTTAATTTATTAACCTCTTCATTTGAAAGCATTAAAAAATTTCATCCGCATACTGATGGTCAGGCTGAGCGTGTCATTCGCGTTCTTGGTGACGTATTGCGTTGTGCGTGCGCTGAGACGCCTTAACGTTGTAGCTCAATAGTCTACTTCACTGGTTTTGCTATGAACGATTCAGAACATGCCTAAAAATGCATATACTCTGTTTTACATGAACAGCCTTACACACTCCCGCGTTCCTATAAAGTAACCACTACGTAATTTAGGTAATTGGATGGAGATGTCACCATATCCTTGCTGATATCAGCCCTCGTACGAACTAAAAAAAGGTGAGCGCCTTTCTAATGACACGATTGACGTCTTACGACATGAGCGTGATGTAATGGCTGAATGATACGACAATTGGAGGAAAAAGCGGCTGCTATTGGCGAAAAATAAAATGAAAATTACGAGTTCGGTGACCAGGTCGTACCAAATGCTTAGAATTTAACTTTCAATGTAGTGTCTGCAGTGCTCGAGACTCATCTGCATCTTTACTTCATTGAACCCTTTACATTCGTGGACAAGAAGGTCTTGCGTGTTCGCTTAACCTACCGTGCAAATTGCGAACACAACCCGTTTTTTACGTTATCCTCCTTAAGCCGTATCAGGATCTATCCCAGATAATTCTGGAGACGCTTGCGCCGCGGAATTTGGCTTATCCGCAAGCTGATGCATTCGAATCAGGAGTTCGATTTGGACATCCATCCTTGTCTGACTACTTTTAAACGTCGACAACTGAACCGCATCAAACGTGTGATGGGTACCACTAAAAGTCTTTCGAAGACTGTTCACCTCGTGGAACAAAGCCTCATGGGCTGCAGCCGACACACCAACCGCCACCAGATTTGTTTGATCAGAAAATGGACCTCCAATCCGTTTGGAAAAGGTACTTTACAGACATCGTCGTCATGATCAACACCAGTATCCGATGAAGTGGTGGAGATACCCTGAGTCCGAGACCTCATAAGAGGACGAGATGCCCCTTCGGAAAGATGTTGTTATATTCGAAATATCACTTCGCGCTGAACACGTAACAGGAAAAATCGTCATCTTGTAAACTGTAAAATTTTGCATTGAGACGCCTTCTGTGCGATATTCGCATGTGCTGTGAGGAATCAGCACTCTGCTTTTTTTGCGAAGCCAGAGCAGTTTTTGTTGTTGCTGCAGCGTTATAGACATCTGCCGTTGTAGATCCGTAGTTTGTGCCATAAACGACTGCTCTTTCCTCATCATTGTCACAAGAGAAGCAATAAGCTGCTGTGCGCTGTCCGAATTATTTATCAAAGATGCGTTTGTGCTACTTGACACCCTCCCCAGTGAGATGATATGCGGCGAGAACGCAATGGATCATTGAGCGAAGGCGAACGCGAGAAGTTAGACGGAGAACGAAGGAACAGGGAAGAGAAATTGGCGACGGACGGAGACTGCAACAGAGACGGAAAAGGAGGTGGCGACGGAGAAGGACGAGGGCAGCAACGGAGACGGACGAGGCAGAAATGGAGACGGACGGAGGCAGCAAAGGAGACGGACGGAGTCAGCAACGGAGACGGACGGAGGCTGCTACGGAGACTGACGGAGGCAGTAACGGAGACAAACAGATGCAGAAGACAGAAGAGAAAGCACGGATTATGGAAGCGAAGCGTCGAAACGGAAGTGTTCCCAAGTAGGAGTTGCTGCCAGACTGTAGATGTGTTGGCAAAAACGGAGCTGAATTGTTTGTGTCACCTATCTGCTGCTGTGTTTTAATGTAACAAGAGGGCTTAAACTGAGAGCGTTCTGAATATTCAGTGGATGTCTGTGAATCGGTAGTGTGAATGATTGCGCATTCGTCAACTCGTGCTTCCCGGGACAGGACACAACTTATGATGGCGAATTGTCTAGTTTCTGTTCGTGCCGATCATTCCAGGTGCTCTGCATGCTGCAGAGGAGTCAACGCAGCACATGCAACCCGACTATCATCAAATCAAAAATACAATTCGTTCTAAATATACTGTGTAATCAGTTTTATTTTATGCACAATGCTCTTTTTTGCAGGAATCACTACGCTGATGTAGCCTGCTTTGAACGACACTTACATGGTTTCTTTAAATGGTGAAGTGAGGCGGCAGATTTCCCCCCACCAGGTAAATATAAAAGAAGCTGCAAACTCCGGACATCACCTCATCCATATATCTCCTTTATTTTATTTGTATCTCTTATTGCTGCGCAGCCTCACGCGTTCGTCCGCAAGACAGGCTGCATCAATCTATTGATCTTCATCGAGTCCAGCAGCACTTTCACGGTGCTGGAATTTTAGTGCGGGGTGTCTAAGTGCCGGATATCTTCCTCCTGCCGTTTCTGCATCATCATCAGTCATACCAGTCTGTTGGTTCTTTAGGAGAATGTAGTGAGGGCTTGGTGAGTTTATCGAATCTCGATCAATAAACTTCCGGCAGCATCGAAAGTATACCAGCTATCGCGCAAGAGCCATGTTAACAGTATCGTCCATAGCAAAAGAAGAGCATTATGTTGGTTTATGTACGATTTGCTGCGACCTACGTCAAGTATTTTGGCATATCAACAACTAACAACTGATTTCGCTTTGATAGGCTTGTTGATGGGAGACTTCGAATACACTGACATTCTGCCTGAATACACAAACCTTTTTGGCCTTTTTAATATTCCATTCTATACTGTGCCAACCAGTCATAAGGCTTTATTCTTGTATTGCCGACAGTAACTAAGCAAATGGCCACTTTTGTGATCCTTATTGATATTGGCCGCGATAGAAATCGGCATCAAAACGTTCGCCCCCGTCATTGTTCATTATCCGTCAGCGTAGTGATAGTGCATAAGGGTGGCTATGGTCATGATCAAAAGTACGGTATCAAAAACATTGCTTAATTAGCATTGTGATAAAATGCTACGAGTACTAAATAGCACAGCACACGAAGACAGGGGCAAGCCCCAACGGAAAGTGGACATCATTATTAAAAGGACGGAAGCTAATCACATATCGTAGTCCCGCTACTGGCAATACTTCCACGCAAATAAGCATAAAGACCTTACCTGATCATGTTAATATCGGAATGTCGAGATTGCACATTCGTGCGTCCCCTTAAAGCAGATTCAGCCAAATGCACATGGAAGACCTTCGTATGAATAAATGCTATTTACTCTTTGTGGACTACTCCACCGGTATCATGGTCTTGGCTTAATTTAAGTATTGAGGCCATTACCATCTTTGTGCAATTAAAGCTTCAACTCGCGCTTTCTTCGGGTGTCTGCATATGAAGCCCGAGCTGGGAATGACGAACCGCAACCTTTTAAGTGTTACGGTCATGTAAAGTCATGGGCTGGTCGTGATACTGCCTGCATCTAAAACCCATGTGTCTCTCTCGGTGCATCAGATAGAAACGCGCATAAGCCCTTGCACATTGCTGCTTAGGATGCGAACGGAGAAGCGTTGGCTAATGGCGTACTTAATGTGGTGTCAACGAATATCTTCTGACCATTGAAAGGGTCCTGCTGGTTCTCCATCGCAGCTCAACGGCGAACAACACGAACACCACCAGTAACAATTGTAGAATCTGCTCTTTTTAGAGGAGGATGGTGATAGGACTCAACATCAGAGAGAGAACGGTAAGGGTTATTGAAGAAGGAACAGTCGAAAACAATTGCCATTCATTTAACTCCTGTTCAAAGTCAATAATTATTAAGCCCAATCGATTGCCTTCATAATGTAGAAGATAAGCAAGGCCATAAAGCCGTAAATATTAGTAAATTGAGGCAGAATGTTAGCATATCTAAAGTCTCACCATGTTGCTCAGGATGACCAACGTGACGTGAGAGTGGCATTTTTAATTTTTTTTGCACCGTCCGTGAAAACATGAAGTCAGACAGATTTGTGAGCACCATCGAAATCTGTGGAGACGACAAAATCTTCTCCACAGAGTCTGAGAGGGCTCACAAGCATCATCTGTGTAGGGTTTACAGACTGTGGTTTTAAACTCTTATAAATAGAGGTTTGGCAGCCTCCCAGTTGGTCCCAGATCCAAATTGTTCAAATAAACATCTTTCACCCGTAATAAATAAGATAAATTGTCAGTTTTACCACATTTTTGACTGTTCGACCACACCGTTAATTTTGCTTCAGTAATTAAAGGCACACCACACAATACACTACCGCACGCCCCTATGCAGGAATTATAAAAGACTTTGCCTTCCTTAACTTTGATACGAATTGCGGAATAGTGAAAGGAGAGCAATTAAATCGTTAACTTTTCTACACGCACGTACCTACGACTGGCTGGTTTTACGCTTTTGGTGGCTGTCCTTGAGTCAGTGGTCCATAAATCACACCATTTTATAATATTACCGATCAAATTGTGCTCGATAGAAATCCACCCACCGCTTTGGGATTTAAATTAAATTGGAAAGACAGGATCAGCTGAACATTGCTTAAGGGCAAAGACTCTTCAAACGAAAAACGGATGATGAAGTGTAAAAGTATTAAGAGTAAGACAAGATTATGTAAAAAAGCGGAAGTTTATCGGGTGTGGACACCTCGGCGACGTAGATGCCTTTAGAAATTTATTAGTAGTGCAGATAGTTAGGGTGGAGATCATCACTGAATTTTTGTATTCGATAACCAGGCAGATGCGTATTATCCAAAGCGAGGTGTGCATAGAAAGAAATGGATATTTACTGAAGACGCCAGTTAAAATCTCTTTTCGATTAGAGTTGAGTTTAGATCATTCGGTACGTGTTGCACAACAGGCGTTGTGATATAAAATGTGGGAGAAGATAGAAGAGGACAGGGCAATTTTCTACAGACGGTCACTCCAATGTAAATTTTTGACACAGGCGTTTTTTTTGGAATTCGAGGGTGTAGTGATCGGAGATCTTCGTTGACGGAGGGGTGAAGAGATGTATGGTGGTGAAGCGGAGGGGGGTTGTGGCCTGTAATTGTTTCAACAAAAGTCACACTGCGGTCGAAATGGTTAAATGTATGGTGGAAATAACAGTCTATAAAAACAAATTGGAAAATGAAAATGCCTCATTTTATATGTAAAATAAAAAAGGCAACTGGCAAATAAAAAATAATGCACCATTTACATGCATACTTTTGTTAAAGTGGCACATAAATACAGCCATCGAGATTCGATTGAGGAACTTATCTACATCTTAATCGTTCACACGCAATATTCTGATACGTCTGACTTATTAAAACAGATAAGTTGAAAATGGTCACACGATTTCTAAATGCGACCGAGTGAATTTGCACGATGCGCGCGTATGAAAATGCTACATTATGTCAACACATATTTTTGAAGACAAAAGAATACAATACAGGTGCCGTAGCGAAACTTAGACAGAAACTATCGGGTGTAGAGGCCCTTGAATATTCCTAATCACAAATCATTGCCTTTAATTTACGTTATGTCAACGTGTAGTAGTTCTGTAGAAACTCGAAACTGTGTAGCAGGTGGGGAGGCAATTTATACGTCCATTAGAGGGCTGTAGGCCGAAGGCTAAATAAATAATAAGCGACAAACTAATTTAGAATCTTGTTAAAGTCCGTATCGTAACCTTCTAGCAAAGTGTTACTGTGTTATGAAGTTAAAACGAAAAAAAATGGACCCGGCTATTGCGACGAGGAGTAAGAAATGCTGTTAAAGATGTGCCTCGTACAGCAAGTGACAAACGAAAGGTACAGTCTGGTGATTAATAATGCGCCTATCACATGAGTAATACCAGTAGTGTGAATTAATCATGTGCGACTATCTGATGAGTAATATGTATAGAGTTGATTCCTCATGCGCGACTATACGATTAGTAATGCGCGATGTAGCGATTAGGAACGTGTAGTCGAAGAATCCAGTAGGCTTAAAGTAGCAACAAAGTCTGTGAAATAAGGACCTAAATATATTCAATTTGCATGTTACCGTCTAGTGCTCAACTGCCTTTTCAACAGGTTATGAGCCCAAGCTCCGTTTCCTCAAACGAATATTCCGACTACGTCTTCGCTTTGGAAGCCACCTAAATCACAACCGCCCGCATCAACAAGTTCGAAGGGACCAAATTTTACACATGGAAGTTCAAGATGCAGATGGTTTTGGAAAAACGCGACCTGTGGGAAGTCACAAGTAGAGAGGTCGAGCTGGAGCACTGCCCCAACGCGATGGATCAATCGACGTTTAAAAGAAAGTAGTGCAAGGCGCTGGCGTTTATCTGTCTCGCAATGGAAGACTCGCAGCTGTCGCTGGTTCGCTCGGTGGTTGGAGCGAACGATGCATGGTCAAGACTGGAAGGGCACCACGAGAAGAAGATCCTGGCGAACAAGCTCTTTCTTCGTCGACGCTTCTTCACGACAATGATGCATGAAGGTGAAGATGTGCTGGAGCACATTACAAGCTCAAGACTCTGGCGGAGCAGCTCGATGCGGTTGGCGCTCTGGCCAGCGAGACGAATTGGTGATCACGCTTCTTGGTAGTCTATGCGAGTCGAACCAGTTTTTTATTACGGTGATATAGTCTCGTGTCGACTCTCTGTCGTAGGAACTCGTGACGTCTAGGATAATGCATGAAGACATGAAGCGCAAGGTACTAGGTGGCCGTGTCGACGGAGCCGCGCACGGTCAATGTCAAGCGTTTATGACAAGCGATCACAGCAGGAGCAATATAGGACGGCCTGCGCAGAAGGCCAGTGCATGTCACTACTGTGGCAAGTAAGGACATTGAATTGCCACGTGTTCGGTGAGGATCCGCGAGAATTCGGGACGGCATAGGCCGCAAAGAGCAAGCGTCGCCCAGGTTGAAGAAGGCATTGGCGACATTCTGTTTTCAGTTGATCGAGATAACATCAAGCTAAGTGAAGAGTGGATGGTCGACTCGAGTGCGTTTCAGCACATGACGTACTTGAAAGAGTACATTAAGAACTATCAGAAGGTCTCCCCTGGGGATGTTTAATTGGCGGATGATGGCGTGGTACAAGCAGTGGGAAAGGGAGACATCATCAAGTCAATGAGGACCAAACACGGCGTCAAGAAAGGTGTGCTTACCGGCGTGTGGCACATCCTTAAAATGACGCACAGCTTGTTCTCCTTGGGGCGCTTTACGAAAGACATTGGCATCGTCACATTTGAAAGGGACAGTTGCTTTGCTCAGTCGAAGAGTGTGAAGTAGCAGCTGGGTACGCGCAAGGGAATGGGCTTATTCAAGGTATGCATTACCCAGCTCATGCCAGACGAGGCAAATGATTCAGGTTCAACTGGCCTCAGTGGGACCGCCAGCTCGTACCTCTGGCATCTTCGACTTGGACATATTGGCCATGGCGGTCTAGACTTCATTGTCAAGAAGGGCTACGGTATCGGCATCAACATCGCTTCTGTAAAACAGTAGGAAATGTGTCAGGGGTGTGCGCTCGGCAAACAAACACGAGTGAGACTTATGTCAAAGTTCCCAGAGAGTGCAAGGAAGATGCTAGAAGTCATCCACAGCGATGTCTGTGGTTTAATACAAACAGCTACACTCAGTGGCAGCAGATACTTTGTCACGTTCATAGACGAGTATTCACACTTTGGGTGGTGTTCTTGCTTAAGAACAAAGCTGAAGTGGCTTCTAAGTTTGCCGAATACGTCGCATTTGCAGAAACTCCGACTGGCAACCGCGTTAAGCTACGTCGCAGTGACAACGGTGGAGAGTACAAGTCGCTGAGATGACCAAGCTGTGCAGCAGTCGTGGCATTGTACAAAAGCTCACGCCTCCCTACACATGTCAACTCAACGGAGTGGTAGAAAGGATTAACAGGAAGTTGGTGGAGTACGCTCGCTGCATGTTGGAGCATGCCGAATAGTCCTAGGCGTACTGGGCGAAGGGGTCGTAACTGCTACATTTCTTCGGAACCGATGCCTAACAAGTGTTACAAGTCAAGACAAGTCGCCACATCAAATTTAAACATGCAAGAAATCACTGCTTTCAAATCTCAGGGTGTTCGGTTTTTATGCATACGTGACGGTTTTAAAGCAAAAACGCACCAAGTTTGATGCGCAGTCAGTGCATTGCCGCTTCATATGATACTATAAGCGCGAGAAAGCGTATTTCTTTGAAGATATCAAGATCCGTCATGTACTAGTGAGTCGCGACGCGAAATTCATGGACGATGTCATCGACCGTGGAAAGACGCTCACGAATCAGAAGATGTCATTAAGGGCCAAGAGCACGATAGTATTAAAAAACTATGACCTTCCATCTTACCAATTTAGGCTCACGACGAAGACGCTGCGCAAGACCAAGACATAGAGCCGGGAGTAAGCTCCATGCGTGAACCCTCTCGATGGACCAAGCGGTGGAGATTCTGTCTCCCGATCGGTAGAGTCAAGGAATTCTTCTAAGAAACATGTTGGCGGTGGCACAAGTCGAGGAAGAGTTTAAGACAGCCTACGTTGTGGATTTAGTGGGAGATATGCCGACAACGTTCACGTCGGTGATGTTGTCCAGCAACGCAGTCAAGTGGAAGGAAGCGTGCGATTCGGAAATTAACTCCCTCCGCAAGAACAAGACATGGCAGTTGGTACAATTACGTAAGGGTAGGTAAATAATTTGCTGCAGATGGGTGTTTCGCGTCAAGGTGAGATCGAGAATTTTAAAGCGCACCTCGTTGCGAAGTGGTTCTCACAGAAGTTCGACTGCGAGGAAACGTTTGCTTCAGTTGCCAAGCTTGCTTCTATTAGAGTTATACTTAGTCTGGCAGCCAAGTATTGCCTTATTGTGCACCAGATGGATGTCAAGACCGAGTTTTTTAACGGCGAGCTGGATGAAGACATCTACATGGCGCAACCGGACGGTTACATCGACGAGGATCACGATCACCTTGTTTTCAAACTGCAGCGGTCACTGTACGGACTAAAACAATCACCGCGGTTGTGGAACAAGACTATCGATAAGGTTTTGATAAAGATCGGATTCGGGAAATGCGAGTCCAATCACTGCATTTATAAGAAGCGAGATGAGCAGTACGTAATCTTCGTGGTGCTCTACGTTGATAATTTAACTATCGCCAGCAGCAGCAACAAGACTCTCCGTGAAGCCTGATGCGCACTAATTGAGAGGTTTGAGATAACAGATATGGGGAAGCTCGAGTTCTTTCTCGGAATTAAGATTGAGCGGGACGAATTAGGTGGGACACTGTCATTGCGGCAGAGCAAGTTCACGAAAGATTTTTTATAAAAATCGGCATGCTGAATAGCAATTCAGTCAGTTGGCCACAAGACCCAGGCCTGAAGTTGGCCAAGGCCATGTGCGAAGGAGGTTGCAAGCACGAAGAAACGATGGCGAACTTGCCCTACCGGAACGCCGTAGGATTCTATGTACCTTATGGTTGGCACCCGTCCCGACCTTGCAGCTGCACTGGGAACGCATAGCCAGTTTGCCTCCGATCCGTGTCGAAACACTGGCAAGCACTTAAGAGTGTTTTTCGTATGTAAATGGTACCAGGACACACGGAATTGAGTTTCAAGCAAGATGTTACGACAGCCTTCAAGGCTATTCGGATGCAGACTGGGCTGGAAACATAGATTCAAGGCGCAGTACTTGTGGCTGCGCGTTCATGATGAACAACTGTTGCATCAGCTGGAGGAGCAAGAAGCAACGAACGGTGGCACTACCATCAACGGAGGCAGAGTACATGGCGCTATCGGAGGCTTCACAAGAAGCAGTTTGGTTGCAGGTGTTCCTGTGCGAACTTGATGAGATGACAAGTAACCAAGCTGTCAAGACCTACAAGGACAATTAAAGATCGAATCCACTGGCTAAAAACCCAGAATTTCACAAGCGCACCAAGCACATCGACATTCGCTACCATTTTGTTCATGAAAAGTTGCTGAAGGACAAGCAGTGCTAGAATACTGCCCAACCAAAGACATGATGGCTGCCCTAATGACCAAGTCAATTCATACAAAACCGTTCCAGTATGTCCAAACCATGTTGGCCAACAAGGCGCCACGGTTTGCCAAGGCGAGTGGGAGTGTTGTCGAAGACGCGTCTCGTCCAGCGAGCGACAAACGAAAGGTACAGTCTGGTGATTAATAATGCGCCTGTCACATGAGTAATACCAGTAGTGTCGATTACTCACGAGCTACTATCTGATGAGTAATGTGTATAGAGTTGATTGCTCATGCGCGACTATACGATTAGTAATGCGCGATTTAGCGTAGCAACAAAGTGTGAACTAAGGACCTACAATATTCACTTTGCATTTTACCGTCTAGTGTTCAACTGCCTTTAAATCAAGAACCACGCTAAGGAAAATATGGCTTGAGATAGAAGACGTAGCAACATTGATCAGATTCTCAAGAGAGAAGGATCTGCAGAACACGTAGATGAGATTAAAGCTTCCCGGGTACCAATTAAGCGGGACCGGAAACAATATGAGTACGAAATCTCTTCGGTGAGTCCGGTCCCTGAGAGTGGGTCGCGGTCCAAAATAGGAGGTTGTTACTCGTTTGTACACCTTAAAATATCATTGATCAATTTGAATCCTCATCTGTAGTCCTTGGACCTTCACGACTCGACTACTCCTGACCGGACAACTAGAGAGTCATATCATAAGACACTGATAGAGTTGAAATGTAAAAGATTAGGAAGAGGTTGTATACTACACAATTTGCGATCTACGTGACACGTCTTTGTCGTGCTCAAGAAAGAACCTGTTAAGTATTTTTGCCTGTTCCGGGGAAAAGATACACTTTGTTTCGCCGTTAAAAAAATGCGTGTCTAGATTAAGTTTGAGTAATCCCTCAGAAAGTAGCTGGCCTGTGGGTCATCGAGCAGCAGCTTACTAACATTATCCGCTATCGGAAGAGGGCTCGTTGCCTAGTGGTCAGGCAGCAAGGAAATGAGTAGGAGCGGGTATTTGTGTTATGAAACCACCCTCGACCAAGTCGCTCAAGTGGTCGCCCCTTCGACATACCGAATGGAGCGTATTTGTTCGAGGCACCATGTCTAAATCTCGTAAGACCAAGACACCTTCCTCTCCGTCAGAGCCTAACAAAGAATGCATGCCGCAATCTAACAGGTAAACAAGGTGAGTAAATGATTGTACGCGTAATTAGGGTACCTGCCCCGATAAGTTGGAAGTCCGGCTCGTTGATTGTATTTGGGGCTCATTACGTAGCTATGTAATGTAGTTATTCCACATTTGTTTCTTTCACAATGGTATGAATTCTTGGAAAATTAACACTCGACCAAAGCAAACTAATAGTTATCGTTAAATTTATCTCTTCCCGTTTAGCGTGATGTCCTTGTAGTATAAAGACATTACAGCACAAATGAGTTCTTGAAACTATGCAAAAATGTTTTTATTACCACTGATAACAGTTTTAAATATGGTGTGAGTTTGTACATATACGTTGTCCATTTTTGTAAACGCGGCGATTAAGACGGCACTATCTCATACAATCGAAATCGAATGACAAGTCAGACACACATACTAGTACGTAATTAATTTAAGACACCTGTGCGAAAGCAAAAACGAACTTAATTCCTCTACCGAACTGTCAAACAACTTTAAATAAATGTGCTTAATGCACCTTCAAAAAATTTCCTGCTTCAATGTGCATGTAGTCGATGAGGGCTTAGATTTGTATATTATAAAATAAGTAGATACATAGAACGGATCAAAGATCACCGATTAAAATGTAAAAATATGCTTTATGAACTAGAGCAACTTACCAGGAAGCGATTCACCATCCCCTAATAAAACAAATACAACAGCATCACTGCAGTGATAAAACACTTTTAAAGTAATTTTAAAATAGAAACTAACCGATAGAACGACAAAATTATCAGCAGCAGCACAAGAGACGTGATAGTACCAGAAACAAGAACAGCTATAGAAACAAGGCCAACACGATCACTTGTGGTAACAAAAGAAACAGGAACGTCATTTAAAACTTACAATAACAACAATGGAAGCAGTAATAAAGAAAATTGGAGCAATGAGTAATGTAAAATAACAACAAAATAGCTGCAAAAACGTTATTATAAGCCACAACGACGCCAGTAACAAAAAAACAATACCTTCCCAGAAAGTTTAAATAAAATTGTTATATAAAAGCAAAAACAATTATGATAAAAGATACAATACCGTTGAAAAAAAGAAACGATAGTCTGGATTTACGACCGTGGCCAACAAAATGTAGAAGTGATCGCGTCTTTCGTGTACTGTCTGCGCTCGAAAATGGTGACTGCGAGCCACTAATTACGTGGCAGATCCCCCTACAGGGCGGGGGGGGGTGAGCTCGGCCGTAATATAGAGATTAAAAAAAACTGTTGCTTCTTATGTGTCCCACTTTAGCATGATTGCTATAGAACGTGGGTAAATTCAACTTCTAAATAACATGGGGCATTCTTTTACTTTTCGTGGTGATCCAGGGTCTTAAAAAATTTCAAACGAAGGTATATTTCATTCTGTCCTGAAAAATACAAGCTTGCTACGTCGCGTCCGCCGATTAGTTGTCTTTAGTTACCATGGCCATAAATAACGGGTGTCGCGTAGGCACTAAATGCGAACTTTAATAGTTATGTATCTGTATGGGCACGTATTGCAAAAGAACGATCTTAGTACTATTTTTCATTTTATTTGTCATATTATAGCTTTACATTAATGCTGTGTACGCTCATGCCCTCGATAACAATCGTACATGCCCGATTCGTTGCCTTACAAACAAGCATCATCCTTTAAAATGTGACCATAAATAATGTACCATCTAATATTCGAGATTCTGGATCGTCTTGATAAGTGCGTTTATAAATCATTCGTTGTATAATGATCTAACTTCGATAAAAATGTTTTTTACGACACACTTGTGAAAAGGTTACGTAGACTTTTTAACGGTGTCTTCAATTTAAGTAGATAAAATCACTTAAGACAATAAAGATCTCTTGTTGATGGATTTTTATATTCCTTTTATTTTTGGATTGTCGAGGGGAGAAATTTCTGCGCTGAAATACCCTGACAAATGATGTCAAGTTACTTCTTGTCCGAATGTGTTCAAATAACGGTGGATTTCAAACTGTGCTTACGGCAGCATCGAAGATAATACCGTTTTTTTCCGCTAATTTCTGGCTGAGAAAAGGCTTTGTTCAATGATATCTTTAAATAAAGAAAAATTAAAAGAAATTGTTAACTTTTCGTTAACTAAGGTCTTAAAAATACACATCTTTCTGATATAAGTAAGCAAGGAATTTAAAACTTAACATATTATGCTGAATGTTTGGAGGCAGGGCACGTGAAACTAAATTCAGACTCCAGGATCAGAGAAGATTCAAGTTTTTTAGCAGGAGGTAAAAGGCCAAAAAGGATTAGCGTCATTGTTCCAGATGCAGTGCCTTTTGCAAGTTTTAGGCCCTACAGCAGACTATCGCTATGTATGGAGCTAACGTATCAACCCCGGGACATGCAGCTTGGCGCATCATATGCCTATTTGAAGAAAAACAGGTCGCCTATTGAGAGAAAGGTGGTATCCTGAATTCAGTAACAACTTGCAGCAAATGTGTGGACTAATTGGTGACACGGAAAAAGGGTACGACAGTGAGCAGGTAATAATTATGGGGAGATAAGCCTTACGGAAAAGTTTCTGTGAATATCCTGAATAAATTATTTGAGAAATACTGTCGCTAAGAACAAAATTTGTAGTACTGGGGGGGGTGCGAACTATGTAGTCACCCAAGGAGCAAGATCACTACTGAATAAGCTAAATTGACACAGGCTGATATTTCAAATAAAAGTTTCATAGATACGGTAAGATGCTCACGGTCTTCTATCAAGCCACATTACAGGATTGACACAACAAAAAACAATGTAGATTCGTAGACGGGTGCTTGGACTAAGTAGCGGGCACAACGTAGCAACTTAAAATCGACTTTCTGTCCTTTGGCCTATAGACCCATTTGGACCAAAGATAATTTTTTTAAAAAAGGGTAGTTTTGAGAAGCTGGCACGGTCATACTTATTATGATAATAATTGTATGCCATTAGTTATTAGACAAAACAAAAAATAATGCTATTTAACTCTGACATACTTTTTACTTGATACGCAAAATTTGGGTTTGAGGCTTCCTTTAGCGTTTCTTTTAAGCGAGTGACGGGACGTTGTAGACCCGTTACAGTATTCAACTGAATAAATTACGTAGCAGAAATGGTACATGCCACCCAGTACACCCAGTACAGCCATCTTTTAGTCTCGTGTATCAGTTGTGCAAGCCAGAGCTACGCTGTGGCTCTGCCCGCGGATGCTTAATTAACTTGAAAGTACTCTGTTTATTGTTGTAATACCCAGTATATCTTTATTTTGTACCTTAATCAATCGGTAAGCTTACTTTAATCCGTATGAAACCGTTGTTTACTCCGCAAATTACTGAAAGAGTTTGATCACCAAGAAATTGCACTACATATACCTAGTTATAGTCATGCCGACTGCACCTACGACTCTTCCAACCTTTACTTGCATGGCGTATTCAGCAGACTTTTTTAATTTATGTATTTATTGTTAAGCACATAAAACAATAAACATGTCGGTATGCGGAGTCGTACAAAAGTAATCCTTGTTAGCTCATTAGAGCCGTTTGATAGACATCAATTACGTTTCTCCACATACATCTTGTGGTATTTTAAATAAACTCGTCGTACCCTTGAAAGAAAGACCTACAAACTGATAAGACGAAATTAATCGTTTGTTTCTTCTACGCGAAAGAATACTTTATAATCCGAAATTGTAGAAGGAGTGATTTGCATTACCATGTGAAATAAATGCGGTCACATTAAAAGAATATGGCATGTCCCAGTGCACTACCATGCGGAAAATAAATGAGGCCAACGCTGAAAAATTTAAATTCATTTTTTACAGATTAAATTAACTTGTCTCATTTGGGGAGCACGAGCATTATCACATTTCAAGTGCCTTCATAATTGAATATATGCAATAAAATTTACGTACACGATTGTTCATTTTCTTGTATCGCCTGTTTTGATATCATGGCATCATTAACAACGTAATGCCGTGCAAAATAGTACAAGTTTGTCTCTATTACTCATACTTCTTGAGCTACAAGAAGCATCCGATTTGGCCATACGCGAGCGCTTCTCAAGGGTCTCTACATGCACCAGCAGCTTCATGTTCTTCTGCATTCTCGTAATTCAGGATTTTACTACGCAACAAAGAGACACAAACAGCATGGAACGTTCGATTTCCAACCTTCGTGACAAATGAATTACAATTACACGCGTTGCTTAAACGCAGCGCACACGTTATAGAGTACGATTCACATCGATTATAAGGAAAAATCAAATTTAGCACTTACTGGCTAATAGATCGTTGCCTGTAAGCGCAATAGGTACATTGTGGCCAATTAGGCGTCGGTATTAATAGTAGATGGCTCAATTGCACGCATTAGCGATTGGAACAGCTTTTAAGTACGCAAACTTGTTAATGTCATCAGAATTTTTTGAAGTAAATGTTATAAATGACAAACGTTTGGAATGTATGCTGTTATAATTAATTTTCAAAACAACTGATCGTGACATTGAATCCATCGAGATATATGTAAAAGTAGACAATTAGGTGATTTTGTGTCAAACTGAGAGTACTAAACCAGAGACGTAAGACCTTGTGTGCAGCGATATTTTGAAAAACAAATACAATCCGATATTAGAAGTAAAAATCATCTTAACACTATATTATCTGTAATGGCTGCTGGTATAATTAACGTAAAAGATGGCGTTTGACGATAGATAAAAGCGCTGGAAAGATGAATGGAATAAAGCTTAGGTATTTTAGCAGTAAGATATACATATTGGTAAAACCTTTCATCACAGTCGTACAGACTTCTTATAAGCAATTACAAGCATTGACATGAGCGAAAAAGTTGTGAGCACGCACAGATCGACTTAGTACACCAAACAGGCTTAGACTGCGTCGACAATCAGGTACGAAATCGTTGCATCATATCTTGCCGTGGTTGTTCCTCTTTAAGCTCACGCATAGATCAAGGAGAAGGATGCGCTGCGATAAAGCGTTGTTAGTAAATAAATTGCACAGACGACCACACAAAAAAGATGGACCTGCTGCAGGAAAGTACAAATGAAGACGAACGCATGCGAGGAGAATCGATTGAATCTTGTTCATGCAGAGGCTTAATATGTAACGGGGTGGACCGTTACATATCAATTTATAAGAAATTGTTAATTGAACATAACTATAAGAGTTGTATTCTCAGAATATTGTCATAAGGACAAATATTATGCAGGACTTACGAGTAGTTCCTAATTGGTTGATATAGGTCATTATATCAACCAACGAAGACGCGCCACGACAGACGCACGCAATGAGTGGTGAGCAGATAGTTGATTTACACATTTGTATTCAGACATAGTTAGATGAAGATAGATAGTGATTTATTAACAGACATTAACTATGACAAATACAGTTCTACTTTTTTGTTACCAAGTACTCGCTTCTCCTTACCCGAAACCCGAGGGATAACTCCCCAGGTAGCCGAAGGAATAAGCCCTTCGAGGCCTGAGGGAATAAGTCCCCCAGGAAATGACAGAGACGTTGATTGTCCTAGTCAATAACGGATCAAGTGCAGGCGCTTATATACTTGATCTGATTGCGCCTCCGAAGTTGACTTCGGAGATCACTCAGTTGCCAACGCTCGAGCATAAAAAGGTTCTTGCGTGATCTGCGTAGTGGCAAAGTCAAGCAGATCTGCGTACTCGTCGCTGACGACGAGTGTGTAGCCGACATAAGGTCAGCAACAGTGTTTACTGAGAATGAGTGACTTCTCAGTAGTTCATCTATGGACGAGAGTGTCCTCGATGAAAAGACACGAGTTGAGCGATATGACTCCCAATCGTGGGAATCGCTCAAGACAAATTGTCTCTACGAAGATTTGGTTGAATTCAAGGATGTGTTCCCTGAAACTGTTCCGTGCGAGTTACCGAAGGATAAAGGTGTTCGACACGAGGTCGAGCTTAAGTCAGGCTCGAAGTATTGTGTCACGAAGCAGTGGCCACTGCCTCGTGAAAAAGTCCTTGCGAACGACAAGTTCTTTGCCGATCCTTTAACTGCGGGCCATGTGAGGGAATCAACTTCCCCACATAGCTCTCCGACCTTCTGTGTGCGAAAAGCAACAAGAGGGTGGAGGATTGTGCACGCATTTAACAAGTTGAATGCTGCAACGGTACCGGCTCAGACGCCGATACCAAGGAAGGACGTAATCATTGATGGGATGTCAAAGAGTACCATCTTTTCGTCCATGGATTTGATGGATGGCTTCTATCAAATTCTAATGCGAGAACGGGATATATGCTATACCGCAGTGAGCACGCCTAGCGGCATGCTCTGGGAATGGCTAGTAATGCCACAAGGGCTTAGTAATGCCCCTGCCACGTTCAACAGATGTGCATCACATCTGTTGAGACCAGTACGAGAATTCGCGCCGAGTTATTTCGATGACGTATTCACCCGTAGTCGAGCTATGGATGGAAAGTCGGACGTTGAGGTTCACAGGTACCACGTCCGACAGGTTCTTACAATCATGCGAAAGAATCAATTGTATGCCAATCTCAAGAAGTGTATATTTGCAGCAAGCGAAATACCACTTCTTGGGTGCATCGTTGGTAAGAACGGTGTACGTCCTGATCCCGAAAAGATCAAGGCGATCACCGACTGGCCTGTGCTGGTCGATGTCAAAGGTCTTCGAAAATTCCTTGGGCTAGCGGCGTATTTGCACAAGTATTCACGCAATTACGCCGAGATGACTGTACACCCCTCTCGTTTGTTGAAAAGAAACGAGAGGTAATTATGGAACGCTGAATGTCAGCGCTCCTTTGATAATATCAAGCAGAGCTTGATACAATCCCCAGTCCTAGCAATTGCCGATCAGGACAGGCCGTTTCATGTGGTCTGTGATGACAGCGATTTCGCAATCGGCTGTGCATTAATGCAGTACGATCTTGAAGGCGTTGAACGCGTCGTCTGCTATTAGTCGCGTCAGCTGCAACCAGCTGAGCGGAACTATCTAGTGCATGACAAGGAACTCCTTGCCATGAAGTATGCACTCGCGAAGCTCAGAGTCTGTCTATTAGTAGATAGACCCTTCATTGTTTACACTGACCATGCGTCCTTACGCACGGCAGTGAACAGCCCGCACCTTTCACAACGAATGGCACGGTGGTTGTCATTCTTTGCAGAATACAACTTTACGGTCAAGTACAAACCAGGACGACTTAATGTCGTCGCTGATGCACTCTCACGTCGGCCCGACTTTGAACCAGTCGTGAAACCCAACAGTGGGACAGCCACTGTTGCGGTTATGACGTCCACAATACCATCTTCAACGTTACATGATGATGCGAGGCGGGCGTATGCCCAAGATGGTGAGATTGTAAAGTTGCTGGCACATCTCTCACAACCATCTCGAGAATCGTTGAAACGATTATCGTCTGCGTATCGATCTGCATCAGATCGATACACTACTCGCAACGCTTTACTGTATTCAACAGCCGTTTCTGGTGACACACCACGTGTTGTCAATCCAGATGATACTGATCTGCGTTTGCGGATCATGTTCGAGTATCACGATGCTCCTATAGGAGGACATCGTGGCCGTGAGAAAACAAACCTCACGGTGAGTCGAGACTTTTACTGGCCCCGCCAGTATCAGTTTGTGCGAAAGTATGTTCGCGCATGCGAAGTCTGTCAACGAGTGAAGTCAAGTCCTTCACTGCGTGCACCTTTACAGCCTCTACCAGTTCCGGCAGAGTGCTGGGAATCCATCTCAATGGATTTCGTCTTCGGGTTACCCAAAGACGCACGCGGGAATACGGGTATTCTCGTATTTGTTAACAGATTCAGCAAAATGGTACACCTTGTGGCTGTACCCGAGTCAATCACAGCAAGTGGCTGTGCTTGTGTCTTTATCGACACCATCTTCCGACTTCATGGGTTACCCCGTGAACTCGTATCAGACAGAGATCCGCGCGCACTGCTGATTTCTGGCGCTCCGTGTTCAAATCACTCGGGACGCGCTTGAAGATGTCGACATATGGTCGTCTAGAGTCAGATGGTCAGACGGAACGTGCCAATCGTGTCCTCGAAGAGACACTTCGAGGATACGTACACTCCTTTAAGAGTTGGAGTGAGTTCTTGCCAATGGTAGAGTTTGCCATTAACATCTCGGTGCATGCGTCCACGACACATACACCGTTTTACGTGAATGGCTTACGCCATCCGCGTGTACCCACCTTACTAGAGTGTAACTCTGGTTTAAGGGGGGAGAGACTCGCGCGAGCAAAAACCGATTTAATTCACGCTCATCACGCTCTGACGAAGAGGTCATTGCGTTTGATGCCGATATCGATAACATCGATATCAAAGAAGATGATGCCAGTGAGAGTGCGGAAGCCCTCACTGAAGAAGATGATGCCAGTGAGAGTGCGGAAGCCCTCACTGAAGAAAAGGTTGATGTTGCTGCAGTGCGCTCACAGCACACTGAAGCTAACGAGTCATCAGATGAGTTCATACTGGCTCGTGAAACGGTAGTCCGTTTTGTGCAAGACTCCATCGCCGAAGCGGTGGATAAGCAAAAGCAAAAGGCAGACAAGAATGGAAGGGCAGGCACTCTTTTATTTAGTAAAGGTGACTTAGTCCTACTGTCTACGGTTAATCTACCAAAGCATGTAGTGACTAACTTGGGTAGCAGTAAGCTTCTACCCAAGTACATCGGCCCATTTCGTGTATTGCACCGCCTAGGCAATGCGTACACGATCGAGTTGCCACGTAAGATGCGAACGCATCCCACGTTTTACGTTGGTCGGCTTAAGCCGTACCATCATTACGCTGCTTCTTCCGATGAAGAACGCCCTTGCGCTCAAGCCTTTCGCAGAGAGCCTTGTGCTCCCGTTAATGGGCATCGACAAGGGTCTGAAGAGCAGTTATCTCACCCCGAGACCGATCAACAATCCCACAAGCTACCCTTAGCTCGTCACGAAGAGATGTCAGAGCTCTCTCGCTCTCAAGATTAACAAAAGCACACTCAGCTCGATGCTTCAAGACAGCGTTCGCCATTTGAAGACGCCTGTCCCGCTCATGCTCGAGGTCGCCGCGTAACGCAAGATTTACGCGATCAAAGAAGCTCTTAGAGACACACGATCCCCCACGATAGCTTGGAGAGCGTTTTCCCTCCTCCTCCACCTCCTTTGGAGGACTCTCGCGGTGGCCAGCGCTATCTGATTGAGCGGATGTTGAACCACCGCGATGTGAACGGACGTTGGACGAGTTACCTCGTCCGGTGGCGCGGCTATCCCCCGTCCTGGGATTCTTGGGAGCCCCGCTTTCAACTGATGGTTGACGTACTGGGTCTGGTTGAGCAGTACGACGCGGCACATCTTGTGCCGCAGAAGTACCGCCGGAGAAAGCCTTCCCGGCACGGTCGTAAAGGGATTTCAGGTTGTCAATCCCTTCGTACATCGCAGTAGAGATGCGTACGCGCCACCACGGGCTGGTAAGGAGGTAAGCCTCCTTAGGTGCTCGTGCAGAGTTGTTCACACAACATGGGCACGAGTCTCCCCATGAGAGGCAGGGTAATCCTTTCTCCCTTGACAGACGATGCAGCTTGTAGCGTGCACCTGTCGGGGTTCGCTTTTTAAACTTATCACGAGCTTTGATAAGTTTGTCGTTCCAAGCGTCACGACCTACATCCTCAAGGTTATGGATGTAGACGTTCGACGCCTGAAGCAGTGAGGGAACATCACGTTTTTTTGTGATTCCCACTGTACCATCGATGCTTAAAGAAAGCATCGATGAAGAAGTCATTATCAGCGCGATAGTTTTTCGCGCTGGGGTCAAGGTGATGGATCCTTGACGAATCGAACAATCGTGTTCGATAACGATCACTCGTCGTCGCCGACAAGTGATCCATGACGGATTTTGAAGGCATCCATGCCTTCTTCTCGGGAGCGAGACGCAAGACATTGCGGTCCCGCTCTTCCTGCGACGTGCCGACAGAAGTACTGGCACCTCGCTGTGAAGTGGTGTCCATAGGAGAACCGACACCACTATTAGCGCCCGAGTCTCGCGACCTCGAGCGCCTTCGCTTCGGCGATGGTTCATCGGATTCGTCAGATGAACCAAAGATTCTACGACGCGTAGCATCATCCATGCCACGCTTTGCAGGAGGCTTGGATTCAATCGACGTCGATACAGATCCCTCTTCCGTATCAGGAGAGTATGAGACACCGAGCTCATACTCTGTGAAGACATGAGTGTCTTCATGACAAGCGCCTGCATCACCAAGTGACACAGGCTGAGTCGCTTTAGCAACCGATGAGACATCAGTTGCTGTTGTTTCTGCTTCCGCGTCCGTACAGAGACGTGCGGACGCGCTCTCGGCGGCCTTGCTCGCGCATCGCATAGGCTTGTTAACCATGCGATGAGATGTTGGAAAGTGGACTCGGACCAACAAGTGCAAACCCTGTCCCAAATGATTTGGGACGAGTATCCATTTAGTCAATCAGTCACTAAAGTGACTGATGGTTAAGGGGGGTGATGTAACGGGGTGAATCGTTAAATAGCAATTTATAAGAAATTGTTGATAGAATATAACTATAAGAGTTATATTCTCAGACTATTGCCATATGGACAATATTCTGTAGCACTTACGAGTAGTTCCTAATTGGTTGACATAGGCCATTATATCAACCAACAAAGACGCGCCACGACAGACGCACGCAATGAGTGGTGAGCAGATAGTTGATTTACGCATTTGTATTTAGACATAGTTAGATGAAGATAAATAGTGATTTATTGCAGACATTAACTATGACAAATGCAGTTCTACTTTTTACTTTAACCAAGTACTCGCTTCTTCTTACCGTCTTCCTCTGCACGTACCAGTGTACGTGAAGTTACGAGGCACCGCCTTATTCTGTCATCAGAATAAGTAGCTTGTACTGTCATTAGTACAATCTTTAGGGTGCCCCATTACAGGTGCTGCTTAGGTTCGTCTGCGATTGCATGCAGCAGCTACGGCCACTTGCACAACAATAAGCTCTCTTTTTATCCGAATGCTCACACGCTCAAGGCTTTCCAGAAGGCTTGCAGGACAGAATCCGTTTTTAAGCATGTGTGGAGCGCCAGACGAGCGTTAACCGAGTACGAGGTCATTTGCGGATTGACCTATTTAAAAGTGATGACATTCTTCGTCGCGTCTGCGTTCCAAGCAGCAACAAACTTCGTCTTGATGCAACATACAACGCCATGATGCTACTAACATGGCGAACCCAGGGAGTCGACGAACGCAGCTTGCAGCGGCTGTGACGGGCCACCCTTTGCTTGGGGTGCCACGAAACTTCACGTACACTAGTACGTGCACAGGAAGCTAATCTGCTCAACAGCTACGTTGAGTACAGGGTAAAAAGAGAGCTGTGTTAAATATAGTTAAGCTATCAATATAATTTCAGTCTTGATCTAACTATATTAAACTACGTCGTCGTATGACGACAACCTGCTCGTCACGCATTGCGCGCGTCTAGCAGCGATTGGTGGCAATCTATGGTTGATACGTCTTATATCGACAAATCTTTGAGCAGCGCACTAATATTATCCTAAAAGGGGATAATATTCTTTCACTGTTTTTCATCTCCGATAATAATGCTAGGAAATTTTTAGTATAGAGAGTACCCCTATTCACACCGTTAGGTGTCAATATCACGCAACGGGCTACCCTATTACAGCGGCGCAATGGTACTTATAGAAGAATATGGATAAGGATATAAAGACTACGTTATGAAATTTAGTCGTGTGTGAGGTACGAGTCAGGGGAAGAAAAGAAATCTGCAACCAAATTCGATACCATCAGATTGCAAAGAGGTTGCATCGACCGACTTCAGTTGTCATTTGCCAGTGTGAGATGGCTTTTACGCTATCATGGTAGTAGTCGACCAATTTTCGAGACGATTTGTCTAAATACCTACTCACACCTCAGCAACCGCAGAAACTGCGGTCGAGATATTCTTCGATAACGTCATTCGTTACTACGGGGTGCCGTTGACGATTATCTCCGACCTTGATCCAAAATTTACGTCGAAGATTTGAACGCACTGATGAACATGTTGAATGTCAAGACAGCAATCACTACTGTTCACCGAGCACATGCCGATGGGCAAACTGAACGCAAAAATCGGGCGCTCGAGGACTCATCGCGAAGCTCAATCTTGTTCCCCGGAACTGATTGGAACGAACATGTCCTCATGATCGAGTACGTGCATTCAACCTTGTTGTTTAGTTCTTCAAATCTGTCTACATTCTTTGTAAATACGGGTCGGACGCCAAATAACTATCTGATTACTAGCGTGGGCGCTACTGGCGTAACGATATCTCGTGTGGAGTATGTCATTAAATTTACACAGCATCGCCAGCAGGATTATTAAGAGGGCACACAGAAACCTCTTGGGTGCTCAAGATGCTTGAAATTTTTATAAAAAAGAACACAAGAAACGCGCCGACAATCCGTTAAAGGTGGGTGACTTAGCGCTTCTTGCAACACTAGACCAAAACATCTTTACGCGACAGCCGAGACAACGCTTCGTTTAAGAACGATTTTTTCGCGGTTCAATGGCCCGTTTGTCAAATTGTAATTTACTGGTAACGTGATGCTACTAGACTTTCCAGCGACTCTTGAGCACATCGGCCCTCGCTTCAACATCGACAAGCTCAAGAAATTTACCAGGAACCCGACTGCTTTACTGGACGCTTGATACATAAGTCCACACAGGTGATTTTCGACGAAGCAGGTGAGGGGCTGCATGTGGCATAAGCATTGACAGAAAATCCCACCGTTTGTCGTCAGCCAGAGTACTTGGTCAAGTGGCATGGATTGTCGCATTTTGGGAACAAGTGGAAACTTGAGCGCGACATCAAGCATGCCAGCCACTGAAAACATCTTCTCAAGGATCTCCGCCTACGTGGTTGAGCGGATCGCGCTTATGCCGTAACAAGTCTGTGGTCTCGCATCGTGTTCCACCGAAGCTGGACATCGTCAACATCGAAGACTGCAGTAATTGTCGTGCCAAAGCTCAATCCAGCTGGGGGGGAAATTATGATCTGCACGCACAGAAACTAGACAATTTACGATCAGTTGCTTATTCCGGTCCCGGTTCAAATGAGTAAACGAATGCGCAAGCATTCACACGAGCAAACCGCAGACGTCTACTAAATATTCAGAACGCTTTCATTTAGATCCATCTAGGTATATCGAAACACACCTGAAAACAGATAACAGATAACACAAACAATTCAGCTTCGTATTTGCCGACACATTGACAGCCTAGCAGCAACCCTTACAGCAACGGTGCATGATTGATATCAAAGGAACATAAATGGTGGTTGCAATATCAACACTAAAAGTTTAGTTAGTTGCGGTATAGTGGTGCATGCATCTTCGCTTAGGTTTGGTGGCTAATAATTTCATACTCGGACCTCACAAATAGTAGTTGTGAGCAATTTACAGATGGTGGTTGTGACCTTTAACATATAGGGGTTTGGTGGCCGTGCACTGGGCGACAAAACGTGGGTTGGCGCGGGTGGCTGCGCTGAGTATGTATAATGATGGCGGGCACGGGTGGGCTCTGCACACCCGACACCAAGGTTTTCAGCCTATGGGGGGCGCTAATTCGGAACTATGATGACGATTGCCTGAAGGGCGCGTACGAAGCCGAGACGACAAATCGAAGTCGAGCATGATACAAGCTCTGTTTGCCTCTATTATTTATTATCGCGGCGGAAATTCTCCCATTGGCAGATCACCGGCATAGAGGTGCCCAACGGAGATGGTGACAAACACAAAGTCTCTGCTTTCGTCGATGATACAACTGTCGTCCTACATGAGGCATCTCAACTCTCGGCAGTGCTACGGATCGTGGATCAATTTGGCAAGCTTTCGGGCTTGCAGGTGCAACCGCGCAAAAGCAAGATCATAATTTTTTAATCTGGAGGTCCATACGACGGAGTTCTACGGTCCCCCGGTGCTCCAGCACGGGGATGCAACGCGTTATCTGGGCTACTATGTTGGGACTGGTGAGGTCTCCGACACAAACTGGGCAGCGCGAATCTGTAACATGCAGCGTCGTCTGGCCACCGCGTCTCAACTCGCCACCAGTGTTTCGCTTCGGGTGTTAATTTTACACGTCATCATGTTACCGTCAAACTTGTTCACGGCGGCGGTCTTCGAGCTTCAACCCTGGGCAGAACTCTAGCTCCGGAATCTCCAGAAGCAAATTCTGTGGAACTGCTCAACCAGTACTGACGCTTCTTGCCACAATATTGCTCCAACGCTGCTGCATAAACCTCAACAAGCGGGTGGGGTCGGGCTGGCATCAATACTGATAGCCTGCAAGACACAGCGGGTGAAACAGGTCATCTTTTTGACTTAAACAACGCAAAGACATCTATTTTGAGGCTTGGCAGGCATAAATGTTTAGGGGCTCTACGAGGCCCTGGATAGAGGGGGTGTCGCCACTCACCGAACGAAAACGACAGTCATCTCGATCCCGGCGAACACCAGGTACTTATGTGCAGCTGCTCCTCGGGCCGTGGCTGTCCCCTAGTCTGCCGTATTCAGTTGAACGACAGCAGCGGTACAGGACTGAGTTGGAGAATCTAGCATCCACATCAATTAGTTATACTACGCCGGAGGAATGGGTGTTGAATCTTCCACGGCCATTGCCTTGCTGTTCCCGGGCCATGACACTGGAACAGATATCGTTCTGGCCCACGTACTCATGGGCGGTTAATCCGTGGATTACGGACCACCGGGGCGATTCTTTATCCGCTCGGAAGTATGCCAGAATTCTTGAATGCAGCATAGCGGGGCTGGAGCTGCAACGGACTGGGGTCCAGACATACTCTTTCATCATACCACCAGCTGAACTGGGAATGCATCAACAGGCCAAATAAGGCGTTGGGCGATAGCGATACTGTTGAGTGCACCAGCTAAAGAAATAGGGGGCGGTCTGGAAGTGCGTCCGACCCTGCGCCAGAGGCACCCACCCGACCTCGTGAGGGCCTATGACTGGACGCTTCTTTCGCCAGGTCGAAGTCAGGGCGTCGTAGCCAAAACGAGTATTGAACAGCGAAATGTCATTCCGCTCGAGCAGGAAAGCGATGGTCTTCATTGGGTTATTGCAAAAGACAACATCGAGGATCGGCAGACAGCGACCGACTATCAGGCGCTCCGTCAGAGCGCGGCAGCGCGAGGCATTGTCTTTCATGCGCATCCGTTTCTACACGGTCTTCCATGGAGTGTTCAGGACTCAATCGCGAACAAACACGTCCTGATGGTGTTACAGATACAGCCATTTCAATGATTTAAAGGAGCAGGAAGTGTATTTACGCAGACGGTGTTAAAACTCGAGCAAGCGGCACGCCGGAGTCCTTGGCAAGCCAGGGCATTAGCCCAGACACCATACTCTCTCTGGGCACATGGCAAGGAGCTCACGGAGTATCAGGTATGGGTCTGCTATCTTGTGGGAGTGCGGCAGCTGAACACTTATTTTCCTGGGAGGCAGCAGGACCCCAGCTGTCGCAAGATGCAGTGCTGCCAGGAAAAAAAAGAGACTCTTGAACACATCTTCTGGTCCTGCCCATGTGCGCAGGCATATTGGCAAAAACTTATTTGCCATTGGACGGGACAACGTTACGAGCTGGGCAATCTCGAGGGGTTTCTCCCAGCAAGCGCCAGTAGGCATCCACCGGAACTACCCTCGGGGGTCTTAGAACGGATTGGGCGAGACCACCCAGATGAGGTTTTAAGCGTACGTAACAGTATATATGCGATTGTGGCGCATACTGAGCAGCGTGTGCGTTTCAAGCTTATGGATACAGCGAAATAGGGTGATTTTTAATCAGGCGGAAGTTACACTCCACGGTTGCGTCGAGGAGTTTTGGCTTACAAGTATGCGGCAGCTTCGGGCAGTAGCAAAGCGGGAGTATCGGAGGGCCGACGCGAAAATTTAAGAAGCGCGTTTGTTAGTGTGTCAACATTATTTAGACAGACAACCAAGAGAGTAGTCGCCTAGGGCGACTAGCCCCGTACAACCACTGGACTTGTCGAAGAAACCGGCGTTGCTAACCAGGCTTCAGATATATCAGACATCCTGCACCCATTAATGGTAAAATAGACACGTCTGCATCTCTCAATGTTACAAGCTCTGTTTGTGTGCGCTACATCATATTAACATGTCCACCACACCTACCATCACTCTGCCATTCATCTTTTCAATCGAATGGGTAACGAAGTGAGTCGCGGCACTGGGACTAACAGCCCAAGCCCAACGAGTTCAGGGGTCGTCCCACCACGGTCGCCTTACACACCCACTGGTGGTGCGTCCCGTCATGGTCAGAGCTTCCGCACACGCTCTCCGTCGCCAGACAATCGCTCGCCGCAACCCCGATCCAGCCGCAGATCGCTGGTAGGAATATCTTCTAGTTCCGATCCTATAAACAACTATAGGAAGGAACGTACAATTCAGTACATGGACAGGGCGATTCGACGCCGGGTGCGAGGCGGCGTGACGTACAACATGAAGCTGCTGATCCGCGGCGCCAAAGGCACGGGCAAGACGTCGCTCTTCCAGCGTCTCAAGGGCGAGCCGATCCCGGAGACTCATGAGACGTCGCCGCAGCTTCAATGTGCGACGATTAACTGGACTTTTCGCCAACAGCTCGAGGAAAACGTCAATTGCGACGTGTGGGACGTTGTTGACCGAGGGTTTGTCCCGGGTGAAGCTGAAGAAAAGAAGTGTGAGACGGACTCGTCCAAGTCTGTAGGCGCTGATTCTGCAGCTGCTGCTGCTACTGCTTCGGCTGTAGTGGATTTGAGTGAGCAGGAGAGCCACAAGATTCTGGGGGCTGACAAAGTGTTAGCATCTGCGACAGTTGCAGCTGCAGCCGCTGCGAATGGCATCCAGTACTTTACAGATACGGTAGACGCTTCGACCGTGGATGTGTACCATGAAGCTCATGGAGTGATTTTTATGCTGGATATTACCAAGAGGGATACATTGGAGTACGTGAAGCACGAGCTAGACAATGTACCGGTTCATATTCCGACGTTGGTACTGGGAAACTTTCGAGACCGAGGGAACCACAGGAACGTTTTTAAAGAAGATATTCGAAAGTTACTGTTTGGATTGAAAGATCAGCCGCAACAGCAGCGGTGGAGACGACCGACAGAGCTGCTGTATTTCGAGTGCTCGTTGCTAGACTGCTACGGACTCAAGTCGCTTCATCAGTACTTCGGTATACCTTTCTTACAATTAAAACTAGCGACGATCTCGCAACAGATGCGCATCGTACAAGACGAATTTGCCAATCTAAAGCACGACGTTCAAGCAACGATTATTGAGCAGCGCTACGTGGAGTACGTGAAGCACATTAAAACAACCGGATCAGATATACGGACAGGCAGACGTGGCTCTGGTGGTGGTGATACCCCTATAGCTGCATCACAAAGCAACTCTTCCGTCTCATCTTTTAGAGAACCTAGTCAAACAACTCCCGTCGCACAGCGAAATGGTACGGAAGATGACGTCAGTGTCGTGAGTCTAGAAAACAGTGTGAGGACTTATTCAGAGCAAACTGCTGTCGTGGCTTCTGCAACTGCTGTGCCTGCTGAGGCGTCGCTGCAGGAGCAAAAGGTGGACGATGATCAAGACACAAAGGATTCGTGTGTAGACAGTAGCATTGTTGCTACAAAGGCGGCAACTTCATCGAGACTCGAGCACAAGGAGAGCGTAGCATTACTTACAGGCGTTGCAGTCGAAGATGATGCTGCAAAACCTACGGATACCGTGTTCACTGAACAAAGTAGCGAGGCTCTTGATTCAAGTAATGCTCATTCAAGTTGTGGCAAAACGGTCTTGCTGGAAAGAGTAATCCAACTCGAAGACTTTCAGGTTCCAAAGACAAGTATTAGTGAACTCAACAACTTTTACTCAGAGAATGAAAGTGACGAAGAATCTAGCTGTAATGACGAAGACATAGTGATCGCACCTGAAAACGAGTCGATGGCGGCAAACGTTCGCGGCGTTTACCATAAGCAGCCTTTCCTTGACTCTGATTCCTCAGATTTGGATGAAAGTGAATCGTTGAAAAAACCACATAAGCGATCAAAAGAAGCGCTTCGTAAGAGCTATCGTCGTGGCGGTACAGCTAAGCAAGCAAATCCAGTTACGAACCAAACGGAATCTGGAGCTCATCAATCTTCCAGGATACCTACTTCACCACTTCCGCCAACAACGGCTCTTCAATCAAGACAGAGAAGCAAGTTTGCGTCTCCGGCTCGACCTTCACGCGATGTAGCTCTATCTACGACGCTTCCTGCTGCCCTGCCCGTTTCTTCGTCTGTTTCTTCGGACCATCATGAAAGCGAGAACGGATTGGCAGGGACAGTGCTTGGAACTCGTGGGTACGAGCAGCAAGGCAGGAGTGAGCGGTCATTACCAAGCGAGGAGCCTGCTGGACCAGACGATACAGTTGGCGTTAGCGGGCAAGTTCCTTTGCTGGAGCATGAGAAGCTGAAAAGCGTCGAGGGTGTAAGCATTGATTCTGCTGACGGTGCAAGCAACATCACTCATATCAGCAGTTCATGTTTTGCAATAGAGAGCAAAGTGAAAGACGTGTCAGTCGCACCCGTGCAAGATGCCATTACCAAAGGCACTAACTGTGAGCCCAAGAATGCCCTACACGACCAAATCAAAACTGTCGTTAAAGAAGAAGTTAATGGACGACCAGCCGACATCGAAGTGAGCGAGTCGAGTGCAGGCAGCCTTGGCGAGCCAGACACTACCCTCGGTGACGGTAAAGAACTGGCAAAATCTGATGACATCCCGATTGCAGGGCAGCGAATTGTCACAGATGTGCCACAACTCTCTTCCGTCGCTCCGGATTCGCCACTTTGTCGCCTTGGGGTTGCCGGCGATGACTTTGATGACCAAACAAGCGATGAGGGCGGTTCAATAAAGAGGCGTCAATCACCACTGAAAGAGTCTCCACTGATTCTTGGACGGCCAATTTCGTCTCCACAATTACCTGAGCAGCTAAACTCAGGAAGGAGCGAACGTGTTGCAAAAGAGGACCCGGAAGCGACCTTGGGACATCTCCATAAGAGAAACTTGGACATAGCGGGTGACATCTCTTCGTTATCAGCGCTTCAAGCGTCACTACCGTTGCCCAATGAGACTGCGTCGCCGCTATCCAACGACTGTCCGGCAAAGGCACGACTGATGTTGTCTGATTCTCACTCCACTCTTTCGAATACATCTCCGACATCCAGAGCAGTTAAGCCTAACTTCGCGACTGTTGTTCCGAGCAACGATCTGGAAGCATTCTTAAACGAAAGCGACAGCGACCCGGAAACCGCGCCACCTTCCAATTGCGCTAGCCCTGCAGAGGAAAAGAATCGGCTGAAGGAACGACCTATTTTCGGAAGAAACTTGGCCGAGTCAAGCGACTGCAGCGACGATGGAGATGAGCAGGAGCGTTTTGTGAGCTACAGCATCAGCAAGAAGAAGAGGTCCGAACGGAGACGCCAGCTTAAAGAAGATTTGCGCCAGCTACATGTTGCTCTCGAGAACGACCCATTCACTACATCAACAAGTGCGGTAGCGGCGACAGGTTTACCGTTTGAGGCGCCGAACGTAGTAGATGCTCTTCGCAAGGCCCAAGAGGAAGCCATGCGTATGCTGTCGACATACCCGGCGCTTGCAATCCCCCCGGCCGGTCACGTTTCGTCCAAGAAACATCATCCGCATAAGCACAAGCACAAGAAAGAGCACAAAAACAAGGACGATGAAGACTGCAACAAAAAAAGCACCAGAAGAAGCAGTCGGAAGCATGGTTCAAGCTTGCGTTCCAGAAGCGCTTTCGAGATGTGAAAACATCCCGCGTAACGGTTGCGTGTCAGCATGTGCGCTTCAAGTGTGTGGGACCCGAGCATTTATAGAGACAAAGAGGCTGAGGCTGTTGTCACTTCGTGTGGCGCCGCGATCGCACTACTCACAATCCACGGAGCGAGTCGTTGGACACTTCCGACTCTCGAGCGCTGATCTGGCTCTAGGCTGCAAAAACCGATACATTAGCGACGAACGTCTGACCAGAAAGCTGTACTAGAGGGCACATGGTACATCCCTGATGACGATCTGGAGTCGATGCATCAACGAGTCAACTGCTTTCTAGACGCGCGCAATCGTGTCTACGCTTGTATCGTCGTCCGACAGAGACAGCTCTGACCCCGTTACTACGTCTGCGGATTATGTGCTGGTGTGAGTCGAAAACAGATGCGATGGAATTTCTGGACGACGCAGCGTGGAGACCTTCTGCTCTGTTGAAGTTATGCCGGCTAAAACACTGAAGATGGTTTATAAGGCGCCTGGGTTAAGGACGACACAAACCAGTGGTCAGACCGAAGACTGTTGGCTGGGTCAAGTGCCTACTTCTGAACTACTGACATTATATGTTGGAATTGACCGACCCGCCGACATCACTTCACTTCAGGTTTGATATCAACTTGCCTCTGTGTCTATAATAATGGCCGGTTGAACGCATGCACCCGTTTATTTAAATTGGCAAAAGCCTTCACCGGGTGTATCCCGCGTATATGGCAAGTTCAAGTCCTTCATTACATGCACATGCACAAGTAGAGACTACTTGGTGAGTCATAGGACTTTTGCGTAAGGAGCAAACCTTTTGTTGACATATGACGCTGGTCTATATTCGCGGGTAATTGATCATCCATGGATCCAGCCAAGAGTCGAACTCGGCCCGACACTGCGATATAACGCCACTACATTGTGGCTATCAAACGAATAATCCAGAAAACGAGGCAATGACGCATCGTCCTTCGAGCCAAGCACTAATCTTTGCCAAAGCTCATTCTGACTCTACCTTGTAATGACTGTAGGGCTTCTCATTCGAATTTGAGACTCTCCTTGCGACAATCACTCACGTGTCCCAATTTTTGGCACTTTCGAAATTACAGTTTTACTGGATCGGTGAATAGAGGAGTCTAACAGTACGAACAACGAGAGGTCTACGAATAGCAACAACAGGCGTCGACGGCATCGTTTACGATCAATTCCAGTCCAAACTTTCCTGCAATTTTGACGCAGTTGCCAAACAATCCAGAAGAGATGGCTTGGCCAAGAAACAGGGAGAGACCGAATACATCTTGATTTAAAGCGTGCGAATACGCGACTGTTTATGTTTGTTAAGCGACAAGGTTACAGTGCGAAAAGACAGTGTTGTATGATTGCGATTGGAATGGAGGTAAAAACGCGTGGGTCTTGTGTTGCTATGTCGACGCATTATATGGTAAGGACTTCCCGCACCGCTGCGGTGGGTAGGGCTCCGTCCCGCCTCGTCCCATTCTGCGTATCCCGCGTTCAATCCCGGATGGGATGCGGGGTGAGTTATGACCATCCTGCGCGTCCCTAACATCCCGCACTCTACAATTATCTTACTATGTCGCGTCGAAAGTCTATCAAATTTCTACTCATTTAATTCTCCGGAGATTAAGGGCCCTTATAAAGGAAGCGTTATCTATTTTATATGCATGAATTGTCAATTTCAGTGGTTAACGACATTATTCGACCATTCTGCCAAGGCATACATCAAGGGACAATACGTGCTTGTAAACGTAATCTAATTGCCCCAGCAACGATCGATGGACTTCCTCACGCCACTAAGGATCATGGCTTCGGCTTTCTTGGAGAGATCAGTTTCTTTTGGCAGTAGCACGATTGCTCAAAACACTCGTCGGATAGTTTTACAATCCCACCGAACGTCAAGATCGCTCTCGAGGGATCACACATCGTAAAGTTTTGGCCACGACCATGCTTCAAAATTTCGCTACTTTCTGGACTCTATTTCATTGATGTTAATACGCGTGTTCATTCTCTGCGATTCTGTTACCTCCACGTCTAATAAGAGCACTGCTTGTATGAGTACGCTACAATCACACCAATTAGAATCTAGTGGAACAGGTGTTCAACTTCTGCACTTGTTGTAGCATCATGTAGCGAAGCTTTTTCTGTTTAACGATTACACTCGTTTCTTTGGTACCTTCAGCGCATATAGAGCGCTCATGTGTCTGCAGATCTGGTCGTTTCGAAATATGTGGACATCAGGATGAAGTTTCATTATCTCGTCCCGCAGTATCCTGCGTGCCATCCCGTCCCGTGCGGGACGGGAAACGGGATACGCAAAACCCCACCTACCCTGCGCAGGACGGAGCCCTAATGGTTGGTATACAGCACACTTCCTCTTGCATCGATCATGGACAAGCGGTGTCATTCCGAGGTGCTCGTTTCGACTAGTAGCTGTACTTTTAATAACATTGCAGCGCGGAAGTCGCACAGTTCGCGAAACACTGCCGTCTTCGACCCAAGCGAGCGTTATGGCCCGCCCAAGGCTTTGCCGGCAACAATGGCATAACTGCAAGATCTTACAGCAGGACTGGCTTTGTTGTCGTTCGTGTCCTATGCCTCTTCAAGGTGCGTCCTTCGCTGTCATTGCAGTGCAACATACTAAGCCTGCACTGATGTAAGCCATACGAACGCCGGTTGCATCGTGTTTTTGTCGTTAAATAGCGAATGAGTAAACCATTGCTTGAAGGGTAAACACTAGTGGAGTCAGTCACGTGTGCACGCACTTCGCGGACCCTGCCATCACCTTCTTTCTCGATTCTGTACCATCAGCAAGCGTACTCATAATCATTTTTACTTCCCGCCAAAGCCGTTTTTTTGGCAACCGAATAACCTCGCTGACGATTGTAAGTGGGCTGCACCCCATAAGAACAAGCAGACGACAGCGGTGCAAACACGTCGATAAGACGTGCGGGAATGATCCAAGATGGGACGCCACCCTCTATTTCAGTCTCTTTAGGTATTTCTCAATCGCATCCAGCCGGTCGCCCCCTTCTTTTGGGTTCATCAGGCCGCGAACAAATGTTTGCTTTCCCATCTATTCTCACAAGTGCACACACCCTATCGTATCCTTGCTGCAGATCGATCAAGAAACTGTACATCTATGCGAAGATAGACACACGGGGTCGATGCGTCGTACTGCTGGTGTCCCTTTTACTGCAAGGTGTGTGTAACGGTCAGAGCGTTGTGCTCGAATCCAAGAATCTGTTTGTCGTCCGTTCGTGGACCAGCACTTGGCCTCGAACCTCATTTCACAATTGTAAACCACAGACGCACAGCGAAGAGCCACTAGAACGCACGCATGCGCATCGTTCTCGTCATTTCACTAGCTGCTGCAGCTCTCGCCGAGAGTGCGTCGTCGTCCACGCTAAATGCGGCGTCTCCAGTTTCTGCAGTTGACGGTCAAGACGTTGGGTCTGTCAAGACGGGGTACTTGCGATCTGGTGTGCCGGATGAAGGCAGGACGCTCAGTTTTCCCGCCGTTACCGACAATCTGCAGTCACTGACGAACAAAGTTGGTAGCCTTGTTTTCTCTATCGAGCATCGTGCCGAAAAACGGTTTGTCGAGGCGAATATAAAAACGATCATGAAACCCGACTTCTTCAATTCACAAATCTTCCGACAGTTTCGTGAAATTGTGCAAGGAAAAACCAAGGTGAGGGATCCGAACAGGGTAATGCTGGATCTGCTGTTGCCTTTGCATGAAGACAAAGTTGCTTTGGCTAGAAGGCTGGAAGCTGACCTTAGGATGGAAGCATGGAAATTTAACGCTGCCCTTCAGGCAGGGGGGGTGAAGGTTGTCGAGAGGTACGAGGCCCGTGACTTGCTCAACACTTTGATGAGTGTTATGGTGGAAGAGAGCAAGTCCATAAACGACATATTTAGCGCAAAACTCAGACTTGGTGCCATACCGGAGGATGAAGATGCAATATGGGACCTCGCCATCTTGACCAAATTCGTCAAACTGTACGACCTGCACAAACCCAAGGAGCGCGAGACTTTGCTGAAAAAGAAGTTGCCGCTACTGTATGAAGGAGAAGATGTGTTAAATCAGATCAAGCTACCGGAGGAGCCGAATCCGATGCTGGACCGACTGGGACGTAAACTATTTCCAATGTGGCTGGCGCAAGAGAAGAAGCCTGATGACGTGGAGATGCTTCTTCAGGCGAAGAACACCGAAAGTTTGTTCAGCGCTGCCTCGAAACTGTATCAAAGGTACGAGGTTGTTTATAAACAACTCGAACCGAATCTCATAACGAAGGAAAAGCTTTAGGCTTTCGTTCTTTGTCGTTGTTGGTAAGTCTATGCTTGATAATTCATGTTTTGCACTCGAGGGTAAAGTGTTCGTGCTCTTTGTCCGCTGTATTGTGAGCTCCTCGCCGCATTAGTCTGCACCTTACACTGTAGCGAGCAGTCGACGTAGAAACTTCTTTTGGCAAGTAACAACGCAATGCAGCTCATGAATTTAGAACACGATCATACTATGTTCAGTTTACTCAACTATGGAATTACTCAACCTATTTGAAGTCTCGCAGTATGATAGGAGCTCCTCTTGGTTAGCATTATTACTTCAGGTTATCCGAATCGTTGCAACGATGAACGATTAAGTCACTCAGATGATATGAAGCCTGGCCAAGTGACTCTCGCCGATCAGTAATATTTGCATTAGAGGCGTCCTGGTCGAACGTAAAGATCTCAAGCCAAGTCCGCACACAGCAAACCATCAATGCAATCGCCGCCAGCAAAAACAAGCCCGCAATCGGGTAATTCGCAACAAGAATACGTCCAACAGGTTCGTCATAGCCATGTGAGCTGAGGTCGTGTATGGCGATGGCACGGCTGAAGAAGACGGCACCTGCGCATATTTAGCGACCCTGTCTTGGCTTTTGAGGACATCGTGGCGATCACAGCTGACTTAATTGCCGCTGCACGGGTCCTCGCATCTAAATCTCGCAAACCTGGTGTCTCTTTCCGTTGATTCGTGCCAGAGCACTGCCCATGAAGCGAAGAAGGCGTTGCTCGTCAGGATTGGCCAATCTCGCTGGCACTTTCTTGTACTGCAATGCTTGCAGCTGCTGGCGTGATAGTGTGCACGCCCGGCTCGCAACGAATTCAAGCACGCACTCGACGAACCGAGGCCACACGAGCTTGTTGTCGGATCGAGAAGATCCTGGATCAGAATGACGTCCGTAGCATTCTGCTACAAACATTGGTGAACAAACCTGCTTTACATTGAATTAGTTTCAACTCGCACGAAACGGAGAGCCTGATAAACTGTGGTGTATCTTCGTGTATTAACTTGTTTGACGTCAAGAATCATATAATCGGACACTTCTCTTTCCATAGTCAGTGTCGTCTTGCGATGATGGAGCAACGAAAGATGTAGCTGCCGCATGCCAGTGTAGCTTTCAACAAAGTCGCCCCGTCTCCGGGACAACCACGCCACATAGATTCCAAGCTCAAACAAACGCTTCTCCACAGCATTCGACACCAGTGATGGTCGCCACAATGAAGCTGCCACAGACTCCAAGCCGGGGCGAGCACACGGGCAACTAACCATAAAACGCCAGCTCTTCATCGCGTCCACCGTATTTCTTCAACTCGTTGTTTCGCGTCCACATTGGTCAATTCAACGAAAGCTCGCTCCCACCCTCCTATTGACACGGACGGTGACGAGTCGTCAGGTCGTCTCTCTCGTCGGGAACTGCGTCGTCATATGGCTGACTTCGCAACCTCTTCCACCGAACGCGCCAATCTCCCCAGACTTGCCACGTCCGCTCTCGTTCCACGTCATTGGTCGTACAAGACCTTGAGTGGCGTAGAAGAGACTGTTAGCGCTAGAAAAAGAACGGCCCGTGGCTTCATTCGCACTGCGCTCGCGCTTTCTTGCCACTGTCACGCATAAAAAGGCCACACAAACCTCCCAAAGTCTCACCCATAGGTCCTTTGTACCTCCAGACCTTATCATTAGTCGCTTCACTTACGTAGACTCGTCACATCACCGAAAACGACAGCGCCATCGGCCAGGGAGGAGCGACCGGTTTACGCGTTAGCTGCTGAATAGCCCTGCGCATGCGACGCTGTGTTTTGATTGGCTAAAACGATGCCTACGTACGTGTGACACACAAGTCGCCCGTGACGCGACGGGTGATGAGTGCACGAGCCAATCACAACGTCCGTTCGACGTGCCAATGTCCAGAGCCAATGAAGCCAAGGAGGACGATCGGAACGCGCACTTGGGGCTGCATGTGGACGACCTGAGCAAAGACGCGCCGCCCAACGCGTTTCTCTTTCCGCGGACGTTTCTGGACATGCACCTTTTGCACGACAGGGTGGGCGTGTACCCGTTCCTGCCCGCGTACCCTCCGCAGCTCTTGCAATGGCTGCAGCCAAACCCCATCACCGAGTCGTGTGCGGGCAAGTTCTGTCTGTCGGCGGCCATGGGTACATACATGTGTCTCGTTTCGGTCACTATCTACGACACATCGAGCTCCAGAGTATTGATGCATTGGGATTTCTCTTTTTCTTGTGTCCAAGTAGGTTACGGCATGGGCAATGTCTTTGGACTGGTGTTGGGCAGCTACGAAAGCATTACGCCGCCTGTGCTACTTCCTGGACAGCGCGAACTGCCCAAAGTTCCGTGGCGCGAGTCGGTCGGTTATGGATTTGTGCTTGTTTGTGTTGCTGGTTCCTGTTGCGCTATAAAGCTCATGATTTGTACTATGTGGTTGCTAGTTGTCGGGGTCGTGGAGAACAACAGCAGGCAAATGCCGATACTGGGGCAACAATTTCATGATCATTTCCGGTGCGCCGTTGCAAGTGGTACGAGGATTAGTTCTGAAACTCATACGGCATCCTTTTTCGTCATCTTGTGTGCTACAGCCATGTTCTCGGGTCTAGAGTGTGCGTCCGAGAAAATCCGCGGACGGCACGACGTGGGCAACGAATTGGCGGCAGGGTGTGCGACGGGTGCAGCGCTGGCAGCAGGTCAGGGCATACAGGCGCAGTGCCTCGGCTGCGTGGGCTTTGCTGCATTTTCGTATGCGATCAATGTGTTTACAGGTGGCAAGTTCTAGTTGAAACTAGCGTCTACTGAAGATGACTCTTGTCTTGCCAAATACAGCAAGCGAAATGATGAAGTGGCATGTTTGCCTGGAGTTGCCTTTTCTGCCATTCACGTAGCATTGTACGAGTCTACTGTTGCATGCCTGTTGCCAACAGTCCATGATTTACTTGACCTCGTGTAGATAACGAGTACCTGTCGGCCCCGTGTCCAAACTGCTCAGCCAAGAGTTCATTCATTTGACGCAAGTGCGAGGCGACCGTCACGGCTGATCGAGTCGTCAAAATACGTGGCGATTGCAATCGCGCTGTAGTTATTGTTTTGCTGGTGCATCCTTTGCTGCGACATGACCGATCGCTGCTCAACTGCAGTCCTGTTACGAACAATGTAAGTGTTCCTTGTGCGTCACCATTGTAAACTATGACAATCCGTGGGCAGTAGATTCACGTGTACTCAATTGTCCTGCACGATTGATTGTTGCAATAGTCGCTTACAGCTTCTGCCAGCGCCACCTTAGCCGAGACTTACATTGCTTTACCCGTACTGAAGCTTCGACATCAGTTGAAGCGTTGTAGTCACCTCTTCCCCTTTTTTAGCAGCATTCGGGTGCAACGGGCAACAAAGTCGATGCGTCCATGTTCGCTGGCATAAGCAACATATGTGCCGGTATGACCAAGCTTAAGCGCAGTAGGTCGTTCGTACAAAAATTCTGATGTTGGTCTCTTGTTTTAGGCTCGAATCAAAGTCTCGAAGTCTACAACGAGCTGTTGTAATGGCGATAGCGCCGGTGAGTCGCCCCGACAGCGGGAATTGCTGCATCACTTTTTCGCCTGATCCATTTTGGTCCCACATTTCTCAAGCACGATAGCGAAGTCGACATTTGCGAGGGTTGTAAGCATTGAAACTTGCGCAGTGGTAAACCGTTCAACCGTCTCATCTGAAAAGACTGAGAATTGACGGCAGTGTCGCTAAATACGCACGGTGCTTTTTCTTTGGTATCGACATCACCGCACCTGACGTCAGCCATTTGGTAAAAGGCTTTTGCAAACAAGGAGTGAGGGATAGCCTTCTTCTTTTACAACGTTTTTTGATCGTAACAACCATTGCCTGCTCCAATTGACTCGTATATTATTGTAATGGTCTTGTGCCACATCAAACAATGCATTGTGTCTGTCATTGGCAACTAAGTAGCTAAACATTTACGACAACTGCTACATCTCTACTACAGTGCATGCAAAGAAACACTACGAAGACCTCGTGTAGCATGGTAGATAGACAGCATTTGCAATGCACGGTCGGCGCACTAAATTAGTAGTCACGCGAGCCTGGCAGCACTAATCCAGTTTGAACTCCACGGACTCTATCCGTTTGGAATCACGACGATAATCGCTGAAGTCGCGTAAAATCGACGCGGCGGGGTCGTCCGCCCATTTTGACAATTTGAACTCAAGCATACCCCGGACTTGTTTGAGGTCAATATCCTCCATACACCATTCTTCGAAGAGCCTGTTACGCAATTTTCGGACCGTCGGATTTGCATCCTTAAGGTTCTGAATCTGCCTCACCACAGCATTCACTGTATAAACTTTCACCAAGTATCTCAGCAAAGTTGTGCGGTCTTTTTCATTCGTGCGATACCTGTTGCGGATGTTGATGTATCGGTTGAATAGGACTAGATCCGGGCTCGTCAGTGCTTTCTCCAGTCCAGTATTAAGTTCCAATTTGACGAACACGTCGTCAATGTGAATACTTTCATCCGTCACCCACTTCTCTATTAGCGCCTCTTGTAAAGCTTTCGCCATGACTTCGTATTCTTTATTCTGTCTGGCAGCTTCCAGCATCCTTGCCAATTCAACATCGTCGAAATGTTTCAAGAGACCCCAAAGTATCGATTTTCTCCGCGCCTTAGTAAGGCAAGCACGATCGAACCGCGACTTGAAGCGGAGTGTCATGAAAGGGTTTGAACCACGATGATTGGCAGCGTCCCGAGCGAGACGAACAACAAAGGACTCACCCTTCTCCAAGCGCAGCGCTCTCAAGAACTTGTCGATGAGTTTTTTCGTCTTCGTCTTCAGTATGTCGACAATGACTGGAAGATCGAGCAATCTGTCTGCCTCCGTCGCGCCAGATCGTAACACCCTTGTCTTGGCAGACTCGTCCTCTTGACTGGTCACGACAGACGCCGAATGGAGCGTGGACGAGGACGCACTACCGACAAAAGCAGCGGCAGCTAGCGAAAAGACGAGAGCGGTGCGCATGAGTGCGTTCTACGGTCTCTCCTGTCGACGTGTCTGTCGTCTGCTATTGTAAAATGGCTAGTAATCGTCAAGTCCGAGTGTCGCTGCATCGATAGACGACGACATCAAATCCCCAGATATAAGCAACTGTTTCAGCGTGCTGCGCATCAATGAGAAGGCGCGGCCAGTATTGCATCCCAGCCATTTTAGTTGAACGTTTGTACACTACAACGTTTGCAGAGCATAACAAGCGAGGCAAACGCTGTCGCACATGGTTGTGGGATCCGATAATAAAAAAGCATTAGCTCACACGCTGATGATTAGGACAAGTTGAGGCGGAAATGCAATCATGCTAATGAAGCCGGTGTACGGCACACCGTCTGCGAACCTTATCACCTCCTTTTGTCATCGTTTCTGCACAATCGATTGACACGTTCCGTTGATCGTCAATTCGACAAAATACTTTAAAGCCGCGGATGTGCTTGTGCAGGCGATAACAGGAGGTATGTAAGTTGATCCAGTTGAGTTTCTCTTATTTGATATGGCTGGAACCGCCAAATCTTGATCAGATAAGAACATATTAAATAACAGAGTTAGCGGGAATAGGGTGGAAGCGAAGGGTGCTGCTACACATGCTTGCAGAGCTCAGGACATTCTGGTTCCAGCAGGAGACTGGACAGGAGTTCTCAGGGACAATTCAGAAGATGCAGAATCAGGTAGGAAACCTTCAGCAAAAATTTCTCAAGCAGCAAGCTCTGGATATATTTTTTGTAGTGGTCCCCCGGCAAGAGTTTATGATTTTTATGGCGGAAATTTCTCTGGCTTTACTTATAAAAAGTAAGGGAGTTTATCAACATTTGGTCTGGGCCCAACCTGGGACTCAACATTTTTATTAAGTAAAATAGATAATTAACTTAGAAAGTACTAAATCACGGAGACTCTATTGTACAAAAAAAGCGCATTGGCAGCACGCAGACAAGACGCAACGAGATAAGCGAGATAGGTCGCTGCCCTGTCTCCATGCGATTCAATCACACGATGGCGATTGCGAATACATCCGGTTCGGCTCTGAATATTTCTGCTGCGATGGGATCTCACGACTTGGGCTCGCCAGAACCCTCTGTCAAGCTCGTAAGCAAGTTTGAACGGTCTTAGGGTTCCCGCTGGTGCTTAGATGAGACGTTGCTCATCTGGTTGGTCCCACAAAGTAAGATGTAGCTAGCGAAGCACCTTGAAATGTGTTGGCCCGCGCTGACCATAGGCAGGCGGCCGTAGTAAGCTCGATTGACGACGAAGTATACCAGTATTGATCGAAATTTTGTGCGCAACGAAATAGATCTACGGCCAATGAGCGGTCAGACGTTGTGCGTTTACCAAGTCAACTTGATGCAACCGGGTTCGGTGTGTGCATATGGTCGGCGTGTGTCGAATTGTCACAAAATGGTGCAATCTCAAGTGTCGTTGGACATTGCGACTTGCCGCTCTATTTTTCTGCTTTGGGATTTATCTTATTTCGCATATTCGTTTGGATATGGGGACATACTTACATACGATTGTCCATGTCTCTTCTGTAAATTCTCCTAGCGTTACGACACTTGCCGAGAAGTCTTGTCGCATCAGCATAAATCGTAGTTTTGGGCCGAAAGCGGCAGTGTCCTGTCGGTCGTGCTATTTCCGCGCTTCGAAGGTCCCGAGAACTCATCTACGAGCTGCAGCGAGAGTCGATCCAAACGCGCTGCTTGTCGACATTATGGCAGGAGACAGTGCTGTGTACACCAGTCGAAGCAGCAGAGAAGAAACTGATGGTTGCAGGGACGACATGAGTAGTGCAAGCTCGCATATTGTTCGTATTCTACTCCATTTGCGAATGCATGACGCCCATCGTTCGACCTTACCGTCAGGCGCGAGTCTAAAAGATAAACAGTGCACGTTTATACCATACAACTACTCAAGTACTACATGCCTTTCCAACTGAACGAATCTCGCTCTCTTATGTTGTCTTTTTCTCCGTGTATCACCATAAAGTCAAGCAGAAAATACGTGTTGTAGAGCGGTCCTGTACAAGTACGGCTTGTGATCATGTACTACGTACAAGAGCACTTTGGACAACCGAGTTAAATTGCAGGGCAGCCAGACGAAAACTTTAAAACTGCCGACGCCTGCCCACTATATTTGGGGACCCGTTAGGGTCACACACTGAGTCTAACAATTACTACATATTGTGTCCATTTTGTAGATCATGATAGGCGACTATCTCACTCCGCTGACGGAAATGCGCGTGAAGCTCGTAGCGTTAGATTCGATTCTCCACCGACCTAGCAATGCCACACACATTTAAATGCTAGTGACTACTTCAGATAGTCTGTGTTGGTGACTAGTTTCATCCGCTAAATAGTCTCATATCTTTTGTATCATACTGTTTAGCATAGGACTGAAGAAGGAATTGTTCAATTTACTTAGGGACGTTGGTAAAAAGCTCGGTGACTTTTAGCAGTTATTAATACTTTTACAGGTGTTTGACGCTATTACAACTTGCTTTAACTATTGACCAGTATTTAATTGTTTCTACCAGTTAGCATATTTTATCCACGTTTTAACGGATTTACAGGTACAATTATAGCTCCATAAAGCAGGTTCTCACTATCTCGAGTGACCGGACCGGGTAAATACAATAAGATTCGATAGGAATACCGGGTTGTAAGGAAATTTCTAGTCACTATGTGGGAGAAAGAGACATGCGTACACTATGCACGCATTTAACCTTGGTGTCCGACAGGTTGCTGAAGATGCTCTTAGCCTTATAGTTCGTCTCGATAGGAGCATCTGTGAACGACTGTGCCATGTTGTTAGTAGAGAGGACGCGAGTAATTAGTAGTATAACGCGGAATACCTAATTATCATAAATGTCCACATCAGAAGATGAAGACGTCCGATGGTGGGCATTTTAAGCTGCAAATCACAAAGTATGTGTTAGAATTGATGTCATTACAAAAAAGGAAAGTAAAAAGCATTTCGCGGGAATTTTAACGGCGTAGCCCGTTACATGATATTGACACCAAACTGTTTCGAAAGTAATATTATCCCTTAAAATAAAATTCACGTGCTGATCGAAAATTGGTAGATTTAAAGACTTATCAATCAAAATTACCACCAATTGCTGGTAGACGCGCGTAATGAGTTGTGAGCAGGTTGTCGTTATACGACAACTTAGATTGATATAGTTGGATGAAGACTAAAACCTTTTTAATAGCGTATCATTATTTAATACAGTTCTCTTTTTACCTTTACTCAAACTAGGTGCTAATTAGATTCATCTTCCTCTGCATGAACTAGTGTACGAGAACTTTTGTGGCACCCAAGCTAAGGGTGCCCCACTACAGGAAAAGTGGGGCCTCAAAACTGGTTGCGAATATGGCAGGTCATGGTTCTTACCCGTGGGCAGTCTCTCACTTTTTGGAAGCTAGGCGGTAACCAGTGGGCGACGGACAGTGAATGTAATTGTAGCGCAACCTCCCATTCACAATTTTGACTGAAAATAGATAATAATGGGTAAATGTCTATTAAAAAGTGTGGCCGTGTTTATAACGTTTTTAGCGCCGGTAAACAGTAGAACGACATCAACATGGACTTACCTAACGTCCCTAGATTCACCCTAGTTTGATTGGATTTAATACATGATTTTGTTTGGTTAGGTACCACTCAATTCTACTAATTGTGATTGGACAATATTATTTATAAACATGCTTCCGTCTTTACTAAAATTGAATATTACGTCTTAGAAATTACACTGAATTGTTAATAATGTAGTTAAAAACCTATTTTCTGAGATCACAGAATAAAAAATTACACAATTAATGCTTCCACCTCCAGTAGCATATTGTGGTAGCCGTTGGAATATGTTGTCTGTAGCTCGAAGTTGGGCTCTTGGCCATGGATGCAATGAACATCAAATGTTAGGTAGCTAGTAAAAATACAGTTTAAATGTGATCGTGGCGGTGCAAACGTGCTCCAAGATAAAAAATGACAAAGATTTGTCGTAGTGACCGCCCATGTAACGGGGCACCCTGAAGCTTGTACTGGTGACAGTACAAGCTACTTATTCTGATAACAGAATAAGGCGGCGCCTCGTAACTTCACGTACACTCGTACGTGCAGAGGAAGACGGTAAGAAGAAGCGAGTACTCGGTTAGAGTAAAAAGTAGAACTGTATTTATAATAGTTAATGTCTGCAATAAATCACTATTTATCTTCATCTAACTATGACTAAATACAAATGTGTAAATCAGTTATCTGCTCACCACTCATTGCGTGCGTCTGTCGTGGCGCGTCTTCGTTGGTTGATATAATGGCCTATATCAACCAATTAGGAACTACTCGGAAGTGCTACAGAATATTGTCCTTATGACAATATTCTGAGAATATAACTCTTATAGTTATATTCTATTAACAATTTCTTATAAATTGTTATGTAACGATTCACCCCGTTACATCACCCCCCTAACCATCAGTCACTTTAGTGACTGATTGACTAATGGATACTCGTCCCAAATCATTTGGGACGGGGTTTGCACTTGTTGGTCCGCGTCCACTTTCCAACATCTCATCGCATGGTAAACAAGCCCATGCGATGCGCGAGCAAGGCCGCCGAGAGCGCGTCTGCACGTCTCTGTGCGGACGCCGAAGCAGAAACTACAGCAACTGATATCCCATCGGTTGCTGAATCGACTCAGCCTGTATCACCTGGTGATGCAGGCGCTGGTCATGAAGACACTCGTGTCTTCACAGAGTACGAGCTCGGTGTCTGTACTCTCCTGATACGGATGACGGATCCGTATCGACGGCAATTGAATCCAAGCCGCCTGCCAAGCGTGGCATGGACGATGCTTTGCGTCGCAGCATCTTTGGTTCATCTGATGAGTCAGATGAACCATCGCCGAAGCGAAGGCGCTCGAGGTCGCGAGACTCGGGCGCTAATAGTGGTGTCGGTTCTCCTATGGACACCACTTCACAGCGAGGTGCCAGTACTTCTGTCGGCACGTCGCAGGAAGAGCGGGACCGCAATGTGTTGCGTCTCGCTCCAGAAAAGAAGGCATGGATGCCTCCTAAATCCGTCATGGATCACTTGTCGGCGACGACGAGTGATCGTTATCGAACACGATTGTTCGATTCGTCAAGGATCCATCACCTTGACCCCAGCGCGAAAGACTATCGCGCTGAACATGAGTTCTTCATCGATGCTTTCTTCAGACATCGATGGTACAGTGGGAATCACAAACGTGATGGTCCCTCACTACTTCAGGCGTGGAACGCCTACATCCATAATCTCGAGGATGTAGGTCGTGACGCTTGGAACGACAAACTTATCAAAGCTCGTGATAAGTTTGAAAAGCGAACCCCGACAGGTGCACGCTATAAGCTGCATCGTCTGTCAAGGGAGAAAGGATTACCCTGCCTCTCTTGGGGAGACTCGTGCCCATGTTGTGTGAACAACTCTGCACGAGCACCTAAGGAGGCTTACCTCCTTACCAGCCCGTGGTGGCGCGTACGTGTCTCTACTGAGATGTACGAAGGGATTGACAACCTGAAATCCCTTTACGACCGTGCCGGGAAGACTTTCTCCGGCGGTCCTTCTGCGGCACAGGATGTGCCGCGTCGTACTGCTCGACCAGACCCAGTACGTCAACCATCAATTGGGAGCGGGGCTCCCAAGAATCCCAGGACGGGGATAGCCGCCCACCGGACGAGGTAACTCGTCCGACGTCCGTTCACGTCGCGGTGGTTCAACAGCTGCTCTACTAGATAGCGCTGGCCACCGCGAGAGTCCTCTAATGGAGGTGGAGGAGGAGGAAAGACGCTCTCCACACGATCATGTGGATCGGTGTGTTCCCGAGAGCTTTTTTGATCGCGTAACGCAAGGGTTACGCGACGATCTCGAGCATGAGCGGAATAGGCGTCTCCAGATGGTGGACACTGCCTCGAAGCATCGAGCTGAGTTTGCCTTTGCTCAGCTTGAGAACGAGAGATCTCTGACATCTCTTCGTGACGAGCTAAGGGTAGCTCGTGGGATTGTTGATCGGTCTCGGGCTGAGATAACTGCTCTTCAGACCCTTGTTGATGCCCACCATCGGGAGCACAAGGCTCTCTGCGAGATGCTTGAGCGCAAGGGCGTTCTTCATCGGAAGAAGCAGCGTACTGATGGTACGGCTTAAGCCGACCAACGTAAAACGTGGGATGCGTTCGCATCTTACGTGGTAACTCGATCGTGTATGCATTGCCTAGGCGGTGCAATACACGAAATGGGCCAATGTACTTGGGTAGTAGTTTACTGCTACCCAAGTTAGTCACTACATGTTTTGGTAGATTAACCGTAGACAGTAGGACTAAGTCACCTTTATTAAATAAAAGAGTGTTTGCCCTTCCATTCTTGTCAGCGTTTTGCTTTTGCTTATCCACCGCTTCGGCGATGGAGTCTTGCACAAAACGGACTACCGTTTCACGAGCCAGTATGAACTCATCTGATGACTCGTTAGCTTCAGTGTGCTGTGAGCGCACTGCAGCAACAACAACCTTTTCTTCAGTGAGGGCTTCCGCACTCTCACTGGGATCATTGTCCTCAGTGAGGGCTTCCGCACTCTCACTGGCATCATCTTCTTCGATATCGATGTTATCGATATCGGCATCAAACGCAATGACTTCTTCGTCAGAGCGTGATGAGCGTGAACCAAATCGGTTTTTGCTCGCGCGAGTCCCTCCCCCTTAAACCAGAGTTACACTCTAGTAAGGTGGGTACACGCGGATGGCGCAAGCCATTCACGTAAAACGGTGTATGTGTCGTGGACGCATGCACCGAGTTGTTGATGGCAAACTCTACCATTGGCAAAAACTCACTCCAACTCTTAAAGGAGTGTACGTATCCTCGAAGTATCTCTTCAAGGACACGATTGGCACGTTCCGTCTGACCATCCGACTCTGGATGATCAGATGTTGACATCTTCAAGCGCGTTCCGAGTGATTTGAACACGGAACGCCAGAAATCAGCAGTGAATCGTGGATCTCTGTCTGATACGAGTTCACGGGGCAACCCATGAAGTCGGAAGATGGTGTCAATAAAGACACAAGCACAGCCACTTGCCGTGATTGTCTCTGGTACAGCCACAAGGTGTACCATTTTGCTGAATCTGTCAACAAATACGAGAATACCTGTATTCCCGCGTGCGTCTTTGGGTAACCCGAAGACGAAATCCATTGAGATGGATTCCCAGCACTCAGCCGGAACCGGTAGAGGCTGTAAAGGTGCACGCAGTGAAGGACTTGACTTCACTCGTTGGCAGACTTCGCATGCGCGAACATACTTTCGCACAAACTGATACTGGCGGGGCCAGTAAAAGTCTCGACTTACCGTGAGATATGTTTTCTCTCGGCCACGATGTCCTCCTATAGGAGCATCGTGATACTCGAACATGATCCGCAAACGCAGATCAGTATCATCTGGAATGACAACACGTGGTGTGTCACCAGAAACGGCTGTATAGTACAGTAAACCGTTACGAGTAGTGTATCGATCTGATGCAGATCGATACGCAGACGACAATCGTTTCAACGATTCTCGAGATGGTTGGGAGAGATGTGACAACAACTTCACTATCTCACCATCTTGGGCGTATGCCCGCCTCACATCATCATACAACGTTGTAGATGGAACTGAGGACGTCATAACCGCAACAGTGACTGTCTCACTGTTGGGTTTCGCGACTGTTTCAAAGTCGGGACGACGTGAGAGTGCATCAGCGACGACATTAAGTCGTCCTGGTTTGTACTCGACCGTAAAGTTGTATTCTGCAAAGAATGACAACCACCGCGCCATTCGTTGTGAAAGGTGCGGGCTGTTCACTGCCGTGCGTAAGGACGCATGGTCAGTGTAAACAACGAAGGGTCTATCTCCTAATAGATAGACTCTGAACTTCGCGAGTGCATACTTCATGGCAAGGAGTTCCTTGTCATGCACTGGATAGTTCCGCTCAGCTGGTTGCAGCTGACGCGACTGATAGCAGACGACGCGTTCAACGCCTTCAAGGTCGTACTGCATTAATGCACAGCCGATTGCGAAATCGCTGGCATCACAGACCACATGAAATGGCCTGTCCTGATCGGCTATTGCTAGGACTGGGGATTGTATCAAGCTCTGCTTGATACCCTCAAAGGAGCGTTGACATTCAGCGTTCCATAACCACCTCTCGTTCTTTTTCAACAAACGAGAGAGGTGTACAGTCATCTCGGCGTAATTGCGTGAATACTTATGCAAATACGCCGCTAGCCCAAGGAATTTTCGAAGACCTTTGACATCGACCGGCACAGGCCAGTCGGTGATCGCCTTGATCTTTTCGGGATCAGGACGTACACCGTTCTTACTAACGATGCACCCAAGAAGTGGTATTTCGCTTGCTGCAAATATACACTTCTTGAGGTTAGCATACAATTGATGCTTTCGCATGATTGTAAGAACTTGTCGGACGTGGTACCTGTGAACTCAACGTCCGACTTTCCATCCATAGCTCGACTATGGATGAATACGTCATCGAAATAACTCGGCGCGAACTCGTACTGGTCTCAACAGATGTGATACACATCTGTTGAACGTGGCAGGGGCATTACTGAGCCCTTGTGGCATTACTAGCCATTCCCAGAGCATGCCGCTAGGCGTGCTAACTGCGGTATAGGGTATATCCTGTTCCGCATTAGGATTTGATAGAAGCCATCCATCAAATCCATGGACGAAAAGATGGTACTCTTTGACATACCATCAATGATTACGTCCTTCCTCGGTATCGGCGTCTGAGCCGGTACCGTTGCAGCGTTCAATTTGTTAAACGCGTGCACTATCCGCCACCCTCCTGTTGCTTTTCGCACACAGAAGGTCGGAGAGCTATGTGGGGAAGTTGATTCCCTCACATGGCCTGCTGCTAAACGATCGGCAAAGAACTTGTCGATCGCAAGTACTTGTTCACGAGGCAGTGGCCACTGCTTCATGACACAGTACTTCGAGCCTGGTTTAAGCTCGACTTCGTGTCGAATACCTTTATCCTTCGGTAATTCGCACGGAACAGTTTCAGGGAATACATCCTTGAATTCAACCAAATCTTCATAGAGAGGATTTTCCTTGAGCGATTCCCATGATTGGGACTCATATCGCTCAATTCGTGTCTTTTCATCTAGGACACTCTCGTCCATAGATGAACTACTGAGAACTCTCTCGTTCTCAGTAAACACTGTTGCTGACCTTATGTCGGTTACATACTCGTCGTCAGCGACGAGTATGCAGATCTGCTTGACTTTGCCACTACGCAGATCACGCAAGAACCTTTTATGTTCGAGCGTTGGCAACTGAGTGATCTCCGAAGTTAACTTCGGAGGCGCAATCAGATCAAGTGTATAAGCGCCTACACATGATCCGTTATTGACTATGACATTCAATGTCTCTGTCATTTCCTGGGGACTTATTCCCTCAGGCTTCGAAGGACTTATTCCTTCGTCTTCCCGGGGACTTATTCCCGCGGGTTTCGGGGAACTTATTTCCGCCGTATTTGTAATCTTGGGACTTATTCCCTTTACTTCCTCTAGCTGGGGTTGCGCAACCACAGCGAGATCCTCTACGAAAGACTCTCCAGTCGATCTAGGATTATCGTTTCGCTTAACCTGAGCGATCGATTGTTTCTCTTCTAGATGTTCCCCTCTAGGGATACATCTTTGTCCCAGTCCACCCGACTTATTCGAGTGGTGGACCTTCGGCGCAGCCTGTGTTTCCTCACAGCCGCCGGAACTTTGCTCCGAAGTGTAACCGTTTGGTACACTAAGGTTTTGTGCAGTCGTACTAACGACCGTACCACAAGTGAGGCCATCGCACTCACTGTAGTACATCCACACGCTTGTGGACGCTCCAAAACGTTCATCAGATGGCCATCTGATGAACAAGCGGCAGGCATCGTTACTGTCCGATGTTGCCAGTTTACCCGTGGTTCGTACCTTCTGAGCCACGGTATTCCAAGGATGACATCAAATTTGTCATCCAAATCCAATACGATAAAGTCATCGTCGTATTGGGTATTTTCTAGCGTATAGTGAATCTTCACTATACGCTTCATGACGGTTACGGATGCGCCTGTCGCAAGACGTACCGTCATCCTCGTAGGAGGTGTGTCACATTCACTGAATTTAAAGTGACCATCTTCTAGCGATTGGCGTCGCACAAAATTGTTGGACGCCCCACAATCGACTAGAGCTCGAAGGGACAACTTATTCGTCACTTCGAGTTTCAAGGTAATGAGTGAGATCTCATTACCTAGAGCAGCAACGCACAATGTCTGTGTGTTGGGAGCAACCTTCATCAAGAGGCCTACAAATTCTCTTGACGTTGCTGGATCAGTAGGGTGCTCCGCACCTACTGATCCTGTCCGTTTTTTGACGGTCCATCCCGTTGTTGCGTCTTTGCACCAACTGCGGACCCTCGTCCCTGCCCCTTTCTCATGGGTGGACGGTCACTACGCCCAGTGTCGCGAGACACTGGACGAGGGGCACTACACTCGTAAGCGTAGTGTCCTGTCTTTTGACATCTGTTGCATCTCTGCAACTTCTTGTAGCCTGTAGAGCGAGCCTTCTCGCTCTCTACATAACAGAGTTCCATCGGCTCTGGACCTCCGTTGTCATATCGTCTCGGTTGACGATATGATGTCGAGCTGGCGCGAGCCTGTCTCAGACTGAAGTCTTCCTGCTCCGCAATTGAAATGGCTTGTTCTAGTGAATCTAGTTCAAGCCGGAACAGGTGAGTCTTGACGGGACCATCCGCAAGACCCTGCATGAACACCGAAACCAACGTGTGTTCATCCACCGGATTGGAACTTATACAACTCGTGAGATGTCGTATATGTTGAGCGTAAGCGTGCACATCACGCTTACCCTGCTTGAGCTTCAAGAGTTCGGTTCGAGCTCTGAACTCAGCTCTAGGCGGTTCAAACGTTTGTCTGAGCCGCGACTTGAAGACTTCCAACGACCCAAACGCGTATGGGTCGTGCAGCTTGAGCCCCAGTGCCCAAGTCTTGGCACGTCCTGCCAGATTTGACTGGGCAAATGCAACTTGCATATCCCCGTCGTCGATGCGACGCGCCCTTATGGCGTCATCCAATTCGACGAACCATCTCAAGAGGGAGTCTTCTTC